CCTCCAAGCCATAAACTAATCTGCGACTCTTCCTTTTTCTTTCTTTCTTTCTTTCTTTCCCTTTCCCCCCCCTCTTCTCCGTCGCTTTTCTTGTCACACCCCTACCATGCACATATATCAATATCTCATTTCCCTAGTCTACGTTTGATTTTTCTTTCTCTCTTTTTCTCCTTCCAATGCATATTATATTTTCTTGCTATTTATCCATTCTCTATCCATTCTCTATCCATTCTCTATCCATTCTCGTCTATCCATCCTTGTATATCTCTTCTCCACCTCCCCCCCAGCAACTGAAATCAAATCCTGGAGAAGGAAGCGATGTCGACAAACGAGATTGTGGATCCCAGAGCATTCCCATTTTTCTTATCTCTAGCCTTAGTTGTACTAATTTATTGATCAACTTTACAACCACGTTTCTTCTAACCTTGGATGCTTTTGTCGATCATATTACTCTCATATTCTATAACCAGGAAAGGGCCCTGATTTATCCTGGATCGTCAAACATTGTATTTTAAAGAATTGGACACCATTAAAAACACTTAATTCTGGTTCATCGATGACGTTGTCTCAAAGCTCTAGCATGATCAGCATTCAACATGGATGGTAGATAAAGACATCCCCGAGGCAAACAGACAATACGATGGGAGCGTTTATACTGAGGAAGAAGATTATCTGAAAGTGTTCAGACTATCGAAACATGGTGGAAGGAATGCTTGTTAAATGAGTTACCTTTACGGAAAGACTGACAAGTTGCTCAGTAGCGACGGAAGAAGCATATCAAACTAACTGTCAAATGGCCAGCGGATAATGAGATAGAGAAAGGTAAGACGTGTGTCCTCGCATGGTACTCGTCCAACTCGAACCGCACATCACAGCCCGGCCATGTAGTGGCTATATTATATATTCCGGGTTCCTCCTATTTCACCCCGTCACTTATACTAATTCACGGGTTCTTTTCATGTTGAGTCGATACGCGTTGGAGATCGACCACTAGATTCTGTTAGTTAAAGCCACTCGGGAAAACATTCTGTGGGGGGTCGGTACCAAAGTCCTCAAAGTTGCGCTGCTTTTGGCTGCCTTTGGGGCTTTTACCGTGCATTATATTGTCAAACCCTTTGGAGCCCTGAAGCAGGTAGTATAACCCACCCATAACGCAGAAGACGCCGAAAGAGAAGATCCAGATGCGTATGACAGCCACAATCGAGGTCTGTCCGCCAACGAACCAGCCGAAAAGGCAAAAGAAGGTCGCAACCAGATCCACCACAAGGATGGCGCCTGCCAACTGCCAGGAGGGGAGCGACGACCAGAACGGGCCGTTGGCACGCGTGATGAAGATCAACCAGTTCTCGGTCAGAGATATCTCTAAGAAGAGCACTTCATCGCGTCTGCCAAAGTTCTGCACGATGCCTCCATCTTCTCCGCCCGCTAACATGGTAGAGAGCGCGATCCAGGTACCGATGGCTAGCACAATTCCGAGAAGGATGGACATCCCCCATAACTTGGGCAAGTTCCACTTCACAGGCGCTTTGGAATAAGGAGCATTGTCGTAAGCAATGGCTAGAGTTGCAATATCAGCGAAGATAGCAATAAAGACCACGAGCTGGAGGTTGAGGCTTTCGTTGAGAATTGCAATCCAGAGCCCCAAGAAGATCTCCAAGTGAAGAGATAGAGCGATACGATACACGACATAGGCATACATGCGGTGAAATATCTGACGAGATGTTTTCAATGCATCGATGATAGCAGAGAGACCAGGCGCCAGAAAGACAATATCCGCGGCAGACCGTGCAGCATCAGACGAGCCCTCAACAGCGATGCCTGTATCAGCCTTCTTCAACGACGGAGCGTCATTGACCCCGTCTCCCGTCATGGCAACCAGATACCCACGCTGTTGCAAAATCTCCACAACGTTGTACTTGTGTTGCGGGAATACCTCTGCAAAGCCATCTGCAGCCTCCACGAAGTCATATACTTCCGAACCAGGCATGGTACCGCCGCCACCAAGACCGAGACGCTCTGCATTGTACACGTTTGTTCCGAGACCGAGCTGACGGGAAGTCTCTCGAGCAATACCCACAGCATCACCAGTCAACATCTTAATAGAAAGGCCTAAAGTTTTGGCCTCATTGATCGTCTTAGCAGTGTCGTGACGAGGGGGGTCAGAGCAGGGCATGATACCCAGAATCTCCCAGCGGCCTTCGCCGCGCTTTCGAGCGACACCGAGTGACCGAAAACCACGAGTCGCGAATTCGGCAACCTTATTTTTATATGCCACATCGATGTGCTCAGGAATCGTATGGTCTTCTTCCACCGTCTTCAAAACGAACAAAGGCGCCCCTTTAACGCAGACAATACGTTCACCCTGAGGAGATTGAACCACAGCAGTGACTTTTTTGGAGACAGGGTCGAAGGGATGGAATTCGAGAACTTTGTACTGAGTCAGGGCACTCTTTGCCCGGGGATAGTAACGTAAAGCCTTTAGGAAAGCTTTGTCAATCGCGTCGATTCCTTTCTTTTTGCGAGACGCCGCTAGGCATGCTGTCAACATGAGATCTTCTGGATCAACGCCTTTGACTGTGTAGGGCTCCGACAACGACAGTTTATTTTTAGTCAATGTGCCAGTCTTGTCTGAGCAGAGAATTTCCACGCCGGCAAGTGATTCGATGGCCGAAAGCTTTTGGACAATGGCTTGCTTCTTGGCCAGATATGCAGCGCCAACAGCCATTGTGGTGGTGACAACAGCCGGAAGACCAACCGGTACACCGATGATAGTGATAGCCAAGGTAAATTCCAGGATCGTAACGATAGTATTAGAGCGGTAAAATGAGGACACCCAAACGACGAGTAGCGTCAGAATGACAAGCACGAGCAGGACAGTGCCGATGCCATTCAGCACCTCAGTGAAATGACCTGAGCCAGCCGAAGCAGCATTGACTAGGGCTGCAGCACGACCAACAAAGGTATGGTCACCAGTGGCCGTAACGACGATATAGGCATCACCGCGTTTGACCGCCGAGGATGCGTAGCAAGTGTCACCCTTGTGTTTGTCCACCGCGAAAGATTCACCTGTAATAGCAGACTGGTCGACTTGAAGGTAAGCGCTGTCACTGACAATGCGGCCATCTGCTGGAACAATAGTACCCTAAAACCACTGATTAGTAGGAATAAAAGCACATAAAGCTGTAGATAGGTTCAAAAGAAGCCCACCTCTTCGATCTGTAGAATGTCTCCAGGAACAACCTCCGACGCGTCGACCTCTTGAAGCCGTCCGCTACGGATGACAATCGCCTTGAGAGCAAGGGTTTTCTTCAACTCATCGACGATAGAGCCGGCCTGGAATTCCTGAACAAAGCCAACCGTTGCATTCAGCAGCAGAAGAGCACAGATAACACCAAAATCGACCCAATCTCGAAGACCGGCAGCGAGGAACGCAGCAGCCTACATCAAAAGAACGAATATTGTGTCAGATAAAAGCAGTGCATGAACCTCTTTTCGTGGTGGTTTTAGCTTACTTCCATAACGAATTGAATCGGGCCCACAAAGTAAGACAGGAACTTAAGGAAGAGGTGTGCTTCTTCTTCCTTCATCTTGTTAAACCCATACTTTCTGCGTCGCGCGAGGACTTCTGCGTCGGTCAAACCCAAGCGAATATCGGTTTGAAGTAGTTCCTCCGGAATATGACAAGAGCTCCCCGGGTCATTGATACACTCATCGTACTCTTCATTCTGTGCAGCCACGGATTCGAGCTCATCAATGAGGGCATTGATGTCTTCGTCTTCGTCTTCGTCACTGATGATACGCTTCTTCTCATCAACCGAGCTGGGCGCGAACTGGCTCTTCTCTTCGCTTCCAGATGTCGAGGTGCCCATAGCATCGGATGTGTCATGTTCGGCCATGATGGATCAAGAGATTGAATGGAGTGCAGGATAAGGCAGTGAATAGCCGCTTGAGATCACTCGACAATCTCAGGACGAGAACCCGGTGGCCAGCAAAGACACCGAAAGATTTGACAACCGTAGAACATTGTATGAGGACGAAATAAAACAAAAACCAAGTGGTGTAGGGGGGAGGAAGGAACGGCCGGGGAGGAAGAGAGGAAGGAACGACCTGTAAGTGTCTAGGAAGGCATCAACGTAAAACCAGAAGCGAGGCATCCATAAAAACAGCGTTGACAACTGTGGCTTCTATGGCATTGATTCTCTAGCATTGATTCGGTATTAAGTAGGTAGTGAGCTATAATAAGTAATAGCCATAATGATTTGCTAAATCTCATTGAAGGGAATAAAGACTAGAAATTGTCAAGGTAGAACCTAGTAGTTAGTTGTATTTTATATAGTAAGTATTGCCTCACACAATTAATTTTGATGGTAGATTTTTATATTGCATTATGCTTAAATCATTAAGAAGAGCATTTAGTAGTGATAAAGGCGCCTAGTTATAATAATAGTCTCTTTATAACTCTTTAAAGATAATCATGATGTATAGAGGCATATATTCTTGCCTGAGGCTTTAAGGGTGGTGCATCGCTTACATAATGATCTGCCTCCACAACGTCATTCAAGGTGGATCTGGAGAGAGCCGCTTTTGCTCTTGGCCACACTGCAAGCAGCTCCAGCTCCGATGATTTTGGGAGTGTATTGTTGGTGCAGATCATCGTGATAGCCTGGCTGTCATTCTAAATGCCTCAAATTTCGGTTAAGATTCCACTAACCGGCTGAGAAACGAAGAAAAATCAAGAGCGTGAGCGCAAGTTCATTTCGCTGCGCCATGGAACGAGAAATCCCTGGTTTCTATTATGGTGAGTGGTGCACCATGCGACCTTGTTGCTGACCACCAGTCCTTCTTTTTGCCGTTCTGTTTGCATCCCATGGTTGATTTGAGTAATGGGGATGGATCTAGAGGAGGGAATGCTCTAAGCAAATCTCTTATATCTTATCTATGAAATACCATGCTGATGAGAGTCTTTGCAGATGCTGAGAAGAAGAAGTATTTTAAGATCCAAGCCAATCATAAAGCTCCTGCTGGCGCCCAGTACTCTCGAGATGCCGTCAAGAGAAAGCGCGCGCAATATGAGGTTCTATATATCCCATCCATGCATGAATCTGAATTGTCTGTGGGCTGACCCCCCGCCGCGTAGAAAGACCAGAAAAAAGCCCATGTCAGCCGTCGACTTGCCACGGAGAAGATCAAGAAGTCTAAGCTTCTGAGCCACCCGATCATCACCGTTGAAAGGGAGGTTGGGGCGCAGAACGTCTCCAGAGGTATCAGGCTCGAACGACAGGGGCTCATCTACGCCAACAGAATGCGTCGTAAGGAGCTCCATCGGTTTGAGCCGTGGCCGGATCATTACTCTGTCAGACATGTGCTACGGAATAACCGCTCTGGAATCTTGATAGCCAGTCAGTTCACTCTCTCTCTTCCTTTGATTTTGATTTTCATGTGTTGCATAATATGCTGACTGCTCTTGAAGGCGGTTATCATGGTGGCGAGTCTTCTGTTTCGTGCGTGAACGCTCCTTTTATTCGTGCGAGGTGTCCCTTGAACTGATCGCGGCTCAAAGAGTGTGTTTCCCGGACTGCGATCAAGAGACCTGGACATACAACCGGACGATGGAGCGTGTGCTTTTCAAGGAACCTTACAGAGTATGTTTGTAGAATATATCTTGAAACCCTGCTAATATTACAGTGATGCTGATTCTCTAGTTGTCATCTGTATCGCTCAGTCACACAGGTTACCTCTTGTATGAGTTTTCTGACCTGCAAAGGCATTGAGGAGACACTAACCAGACTAGAGCCACGATGGACAGTGGCCCCCGAGGCGACTCCTTCCTCGCTCCACGAATGTTACCAGACCCAGACGAAGGAGGAGACTACAGATGGCCTCCGTTCTGTAGGTTATGATATGACAAAAGCGGCCTCTGGCAAGAGCTTTCTGACACCCAATTCTACACTACAGTTGCGCATCCTCTCCGGATCCGTACAACACCATCTTTATGGTGCTCTGCTGCGTGCCCGACAGGCGAAAAACCCCTTTTTGCAATCGGGACCTCCCACGGCCTGCACACATTGGAAGGGTTTGGAAGTCACTGGACATTATCGAAGAAACCGTTTCCCAACGACGTGATCTCGGGACAGCCGGTGCTGCAGCGACGAAATGATTCCTCCCACGCAACGGTCACCAGTGTAGAATGGTTGTCTCCGGATGTGATTGCCTCGGGCCTAAAGGACTCTGCCATTTTCCTGCACGACCTGCGCAGCGGAGGAACAGCAACCCGCCTCCAACATCCGCATTCCGTCACGAAGATCCGCAAGGTTGATCAGTACCGACTGGTGGTTGCAGGACTGAAATCGGTAAGCCAATCCAATTCCAGAGCGATCCTTTGCAGGCGTCTAAATCATCCCAGCTTGAAATGTATGACATCCGCTTCCCCCCCAACGGTCTCCAACGCAACCCCAAACCCCTGAGCCACCGCCACACATCCACAAGGCCGTACCTCCGTTTCGAGGACTTTTCCCCAGAAATCATCCCAGACTTTGACATCAGTCCGGAACTGGGTCTCCTAGCAAGCGGTATGCTATTTTATTAAAGACGGAGTCTCTACAAGGAGAGCGAGAGAGGAATCTAGACTGACAAGTTGAGTTACCAGCCTCCGACGAGCGCAAAATCCAACTATTCTCCCTTCGTACGGGTTACCAGGTCTCTTCGCCCCTATCGAATCACCAATACGACCATTCCATTTCCTGTGTGCATTTTGAAACAGGAGACGTCTCCCTGCATGGCCCGAAGACTCCGAGTTTACTGGTTTGTGCCCGTGCGACGGTTGACCAGTGGATATGGTGAATTGGAAAAGTGTACATATCCTATTACTCTGAATTAAGTGTTAGTGGAGAACAATATATGTAGTTAATGACTGTATCCTATGCTAGGTAGAAAGGGGAGTAAGCCCCTAGTATACTAATCTAACCCCCCCGCTAACCATTCGCCAACCTCTACACCTATCCCCTTGGCCAATTCCCCGATCCAGTCCCCCGAGACATTCACGCACCATTTCTCCCCTGCATCAGAGGAGGTGTTACCGCTCCCCCCGCCGCCGGCGCCCACTCCGCCGACCTGGGCGCTACTGCGGTGGCCCGCCGCAGGGACGACAAGGCGCAGACGGCGCAGCGTTGCGAGTTCCGCGTAGATGGCGTCCGCGACGGCGGCGGTCCGGATCGGGTTGGCGGGCGGGTTGGGGTCAATAGCGTGGTAGATGGCGATAAGGCGCTCGAGCGGGAAGGGTCGTGCGGAGAGGATGGTGTAGGGACCTGTGATGCCGGGGCCACCACCTGCCGCGGACGTTGTGGCAGACGAGGTGGCAAAGGCCGATTCGAGGGTCGACTTGGTGATGCGCGTCTTTTGCCGTTTGCCCTTTTTGCTGGGTGTATTCGCGGCTGTGGTTGTCGAGGAAGTATCCTGACTCGCTTCGCGGAGGTCTTCAGCCTGGGCCTGGGAGAGCAGTTTTAGACGGCGGCGATGGTGCGACCGCTTATTGCGCGCCGACAGAGATGAGGAAGAGAACTTGGAGAAGAAGATGGTGTCCAGACGGGGCGGGGTGTGTGAGGCAAGGTATGCGGATGTTAGGATTAGGGTTGGGAAATATGGTAATGACGGGAGCGGCGATGGTCCGGTCGGGAGAGATCTGGCTAGTAATGATTTGCTTGTCGCCGGGGTAGCAGCAGTAGGCTCTTCAGGCACAATGTGATGTACCAGGGCTGCTTCGCCTTGATGCCGGAACAACGCTCTGTTTCTAACCAGCAACCGAGTAAAATCCCACTCGGAAGCATTGACACCAGGGGGAGCCTCCCCCCCCGTGATAGGGGCCACAAATCGAGGCCATAACTTCTCACATATCGAGTCAAATGTCGGGATTGTGCCGGATGTTGGGCCGACTAACGAATCGTAGACGGTGGCAACAAAGCTTGGGTATAGTCTGGCGGTCTGCTCGGCAGAGATGCCTTCGAGTGGTTGTGGATCTGAGTTGAGGATGATCCGAATGGCTTCCTGACGCGTATATGGAGGAAAATTGATATGTGGAACAGCCGATGACTGGAGAAACAGTGGTCGAGGCGTGGAACTGAGGATCAACACAACAGAAAGCGACGGGATCTATGTTTTGCACCTTTCGTCAGTCCTTCTGACACGTCCGACAACATTCACAAGACGCAAGACTCTCACCACTTCTCCAAGTCGTGCTAGGGCTGCCAGAAGCGTCGGAGGCGCCTCGCGCTGCGTATCGATTCCATCGAGGACCAGCACAAACTTGCCCCCTCCGCCAGTTATTGAAGCCAGCGACTCCGCCAGCAGTACTACAAGCGAGCTGATGTTCTCGCACCGGCCCTTGCCGAACCTCTCCCACTCATCTTTCTGGCCCAGAGCGTCCAGCGTTTCCGACAGGATCTTCGTGAGCAGATGTCTTCCTGTGATGCACTCGGCGCTGCGGACGACGGCGTGCGGCACTTCGAGGGTGGACAGAACAGCGCGCACAATCGTAGACTTGCATGTCGCTGCGATGCCGTGGACGACAATACTTGCTGGACTGGAAATCCCCTTCTATATACATGCCGGAAATCAGCATTAATCAATAGTTCAGGCGTGAGGAGTGGGCATAGGGATTCTGCGACCTACATCAAGCAGACTTGCAAGTTGCCGGCTCTGGAGCTCTCGACAGGGCCATTTTTGGCCTAATGAGCGGGCCAATTCTGCTGGAAGCATGGCGGCCGCTCAATACCGCGAGTGATATCTGTAGAGGAGCGTCGGTCAACTCCTTTCCCCGTCCGAGCCTGGTCGAATCTTTTGTTCGCGAACCTCGACGCGTTCCGAGCGGATGCGTGGTCACGTGCCAGACGCTGCATTGCCATAATGCATAAAATGCCATAACAAGTTGAATGATAGTTCAACGCGAGCTATATCTCAGTAATTGCCCATTATTCCTTGCCTACGTTTCTACAGGAGGATAGATTATTCTAATTTGCAGGATATGAATACATCTATTCTACTAGAAATGCTGTTAGAAACAGGCAAAATGGTGGCAGTCCAGATAAAAGAAAGGAAATAGATGAAGCTCTCCAATGCAAAAGAAGATTGATCAATATCAAAAAAAGGGGAAGGGGGGGGTAGAAGACAAAAGAAAAGAACTGTTACAATCCATAAGGTGCATGCAAGGCCATTAAAAGAGAAAAAATAGGTGTCATTCTGACATGCCCATGATTTCTGGATGCATCAAGGTCTTCAGTCGTTGCTCGTGACCATCGAGACATGGTGCGTTGCCAGGGTTGAGCTGGAGAACAGCCACCGGGAATCTCGGAAGGGAATGTACAAGCGGCATATCATGGCTCAGACGGGGTAAACCGGAAGCAAAAAGACCACAAAAGGATAGAAACACAAGGGGAGAGAAAACGAATAAAGGCACAATTGTGATGCGATCGGACAGAGACCAGAGGAGTACCAATAGTGACAAGATCATAAGCCAAGCTCACCACAATATGGGGGAGACAATAGCAACTGAGCCCTGACATCACCAGACTTCATGATCACCTGCCAACAAGTGAGGGGAGGGGAGGCGAAGCCATCCAAGTGGAGGAGGAAAAGTGTACAGAGACAGAAAGCAAGAATGCATCTTTCATGCGCTGGCCATAGTCAAGGGGAAACCAAGAAAGATGCAGCAATGAATCTGGCAAGAAGAAAGGAAGAAGAAAAGAATGGGGCAAAGAGATCTTGGCATGTATCGTCTGAAACCCAAAGTTTACTGACGGGGGATGTCAGGTTGGCCGTGAAAAAAAAGTCATGAAGATCGTGGCATCATCTCGGTATGAGTACAAGTCTGTGAACGAGTGCGGGAGGTTTCGCAAGGCGCTGAGATGCATCAGAAGTAATTGTACAGCGGGTTCTGAGCAATAAGATTGCCATTGGGCTGCTGAGCCGCAGGGGCGAAAATGGGCATCGCTTCACCGACCCCTGCGGAGGAGGCGTGGTTGGGAGCAGTGCCCGAGCCAGCGGCAGGCATGAATGCCTGGGTAGCACCAGCAGGAAACTGGCTGCTAACTGGAGAACCAGCAAAGGCATTCGGCTGGAAGACAAATTGCTTGGGCGTTCCCTGAAGGGGTCCAGGAAGCTGGGCGGAGTTCATTTCATTCGGAGTCACCTGTCCACTGGTCGACGCGCTTCCACGGCCGGACCCCTCCACAGCCATCATCTTACCGGCAATGCGACGTCCGTGGGGAGTCTGACGGATGGTAGGTAGGATTGGGCGGATTGAATCCACGATACGGGTCCGCGTGTCGGGGTCGGCAAAGTCCATAGCGGTCTGAACGACATAGTTGGCGAACGAGTCTCGGAGCATCTTTTCGAGTTCGGCACCAGCAAGCATCTCGTCAATCATCTGACGGCGAACCTGGTAGTCGGCAGTGCGAAGGCATTTCTCAATCACGTTCGAGCTGAACTTCTGTTTCGACAGGGCAGGGATGTTGCCACGGAAAGTCTGGCAGAGCGGTTCGGTGAAGTGGGGCTCCGCGAGATCGAGGATGTACTGCACTACGTAGTTTCCGAATGGGTCTTGGACGAGCGAGAACGCGTTGGCGGTGATCTGTGCAATCAGGCGGGCTCTCTGCTCACCAGAGGCATGGTCGATGCAACGCTGCAGGACGCAGCACCCGTGGCGATGAGTGCCGACAACCACACAGTTCGCACCAACAGCATCATAGATGAATTGAGAATCCTCGGCAGAAAGACGGTTCAAGCACTTTTGGATGACATGGTTACCATTCAGGTCCTGGACCAGCTCGACGACATTATCTTCCAAGGAGCGGATGACCGTCTGAATCTGCTCAGGGGTGGAGATGAACTCGATCATCTTTTGCAGGGCCCTAGTGCCGTGCTGGTTCAATGCGATCTTCACCAGTTGAGCAGCAGCGTTGTTGATCAGTGCCGTCCTCTGTTCATCATTGGAATATTCGAGGAGCTTCTGGCACAGGTAGTTTCCAAAGGGATCTAAATAACGCCATTAGCTCTAAGAAGAGTCGAAAAGAGGAAGAGAGGAGAGATCAACATACCCGTCATCAGCTCAACCACGTGAAGGTGAGTCTCATTGAAGATCAGCTGCACATGCTCGTTGTTTCGTTCCTCGAGCTTTCTCTGCAGATATCTGCAACCATGCTGATCCTTGCAGAGGCTGTAGAGTTCGCCACGGTAGTGTTCCAGAGGGAAGTTGGTGAAGCGAGACAGCTGAGCGGAGGAATCGCCTTCTACGGCACGACGACCATTCACAGTTCTACCAGGGCTATCAGGGAACCGGTAGTTGCTGTAAGGAGGAAAACCCGAAAACTGAGTCGAAGCGGGATAGGGTGAGACATGGCCGTTGACCGGTATACCATTGCCCGCATATGGCTGTAGATTATAGCCAAAGAAGGGAGGCTGCAGGGGGTTGATGGTATTAGCGGCGACATTTCCCCCGGCGGCGGTCGCACCTGGCGCCACTGAGATGAGTTGAGGTCCAAACGGTGCAGCACTGGCTTGAAGGGTGGTGGCAGCGGCGGTAACAGGCTGCAGAGTCTGAGTGTTTTGAAGATTTGCTTCGTCGCGTTCAGGGGAGTCCTGGGTCTGGCGGGGGTTAACGACAGCGACAGGGATCCTTCCAAGACTTGCGTTGTGCTGGTGGAAATGCTCCGCATGGGTCTTGGGAGGAGTCACCGTAGTGGGAGGGACGTTTGCTTTCACAGTTGGCAGATCGTTGGTGGAGAAGGATGACTGGAGAGGCATGGGACGAGTGGTCGGGACGGTGGTGGCATTGTCGTTACCTGACTCGGTACGGAACAGCAGGTTGGCCTCGAGAGAGTGTCTGGCAGCGTGGCGAGCCGAGTTGGCTGCTTTGATATGCTTGTCGGGTGGGCTGCCCAACTGATCCAAACGGAACATGTTCAGGGTATTCTGCGGCATGCTCTGGTGCGAGGAACGGTGACGACTGTGACTATTCCAAGACTCGGGCCCAGGAGTGCGAGAATTGGCCAAGTCCAAGGCGTCAGAGTTTGCAGACAGCTAGCATATTGGTCAGCTAATCGGTTTCTTTTCGTCGTGCAGCAGCGGGTGGAGTGAGGGATGAAGGAGTGAGACTTACCAAACCAGAGTCATCACGGCGCGACAAAGTCGGGAATTTGTCGTCAGGGTCAGTCATTTTGAGGTAGCTTTTAATGTCAGGAGTCGAAATACGATCATCGTCCTTCAGCAGGTTTTTGTCGTCGTCATGGAAGAGGTATTTAGCGGCAGTAAATGTTTCCAGGCCTGAAGAACCGTTGAAACCAGGGCCAGAGCCAGAACCCCCAGAGCGGTACTGGGAGGCGGAGCCCAACCCACCAGAAGGCATTGAGTAGCGGTGTAGACTTGGAGATATATCAGCAAGAAGAAAAAGAAATCCAGGAAATGGAGATAGATGACTTTGAGTCAAAGAAGACGTGAAAAAAGGGCAGCAGAAGGTCAAGGTCAGGGAGCATGAGGAGAAGGAATAAATAGTCCATAATCTCAGAGGGGGGATAAATATCCTCATCCAGTGATAGACAGTAAAGAAGAATAGAGAGATGTTTATTCACATCTTCTATTCAGGTGGGTATTGAATAGGGACACAATAGGGAGTAGTGAATGTGGAATACACCACAATAGGCAGCAATAGGACATTGAATGGAGGGAGAAGGGGGAGGAAGGAGGGGGCCAAAGCTAATTGACTTACGAAGGGCCTGGACGGAAAGTCGACACGGACTCCTGAAGGAATTCCTCCTTCTCTGAGTTTCGGCGGGAGCCAGGGACAGAGTGCACCGAGAAGCGATTGCCGTCCTGAGCGATGGAGGTGGTTTGGCTAGGGGGTGACGTCACATGCGAGGGTGCAAAGACGCTGAAGAAACCCGGGGATGAAGTGACGCTGGAGGTTGAGAAGCGGGTCGGGCGAGAGAAAGCCCCAGAGAGGCTATTCTCACGATACTCTGGCGGCGTGGTAGGCTCACTGACAGGACCCGACAACCCAGCTTTGGCAAGATCCCGGGCGAGCTGATCCATTTCTTGCTTCTCTCGCTCCTGCTGCAGATCTAAGAGCTTCATATCTTCCTCAAAACGTCTCTTCTGCTCTCTCATATACTCGATATGTTGGCGTTTCTTCTCAAACTGGAGTTGTCAAGTTAGCAATTTCTATAGGTAAGAAAAAAAAATATGATCGATGGAGAAAAGTTCTGCCAAAAAATAAAAAAAAAGTAAAAAAAAGAGATAAAAAAAGAAAACTAGGCATGTCTCTAGTGAATTAATTGCCAGAGAGTGAAAGGTCATTAAGTAAAGTGAATAAGCTACAGAAGGTGAACTAGGTTCCAGGGGTGAGATGAAACCTGGGAACATAGAGATTGAAAGTGAAGTTCAACTGCAAGCCCAAGGAACATCAAGATTGACTAATAACTCCGAGTACAGAGAGAGAGAGAGAGAGAGAGAGAGAGAGAGAGAGCAGTCTCACTTACCGAAGATAGAAGATCCATGGCGTCGGGGACCTGTGGAGTGGCACCCTGATTCAGGTAGCTCCAAGAGGAGAGCTTGCTGGAGTCTGTAGTGAAGCGTCGCTGGAGGTTTGCCCGCACGTCGGTGGAGGGCCGCGAAAAGGAGGTCATGAGGGTTGAGTGACCGGGAGACAAGGAGCTGTAACCGGCAAAGGGCGACTCGGAAGGGGGGGATCGAGGGGAAGGGAATCGCAGCTCGTCGAGGCGTTCGCTAAGCCCATTCTTGAAGGCCATGGTGGGCAATAGAGAAGGCAAGCGGAGATGGGTGGCTTAAAGATATGAACAGGTCGGGTGGGCTATACTGTTCACAGGGCGAACCCAGTCAGACTCGGTTCTTGACACGATTGTGCAACCCCCCTCTCTCCCTCCGAAAGAGGCCCCGAGGATCAATATGAAGGACAATTGGATCCCGTCTGGAGCAAGGACTGCCGAGACTACAGCCCCGGGTGGCAGGGAAAACGCAGTCGAGGCACGCTGGTCGGCGGTGTGTGTGCGTCCAAAGGCCCAAGTAAGGAGTCAGGAGGGGAGGGGCGGAGAGGAGAGGGGTGATTCGGCGAGAGAGAGCAGGGAGCGGGCACTCACACAGAACGCCTCGAGAGATGATGGAAGCACCTGTAGCCACCTGACAGACACGAATCAGGGGCGGAGGCTTCCTTGTTGTTGGGGGGTTTTTTTTTGGATGTTTGTGTGGTGTGTTCGTGGGTCAGGAACGTGGTAGGGGAATCCTGAGGATGCGGAGATCAGTGAATCAGTAGGAGGGGGACCCCAAAACCACAGAGAGCGAAAGCAACCAACACCTACCAGCCGATCGCAACACTCTCGAGCAGAGAGCGGAGCGGAGAAGAGCGACTACTCAACCAGTGAAGTGGGCAACAACAAAAGAGACAGACAGGACTGTTGTACAAGAGAGGTGAGGGCCCACGACGCAGAGAAGGCGAGAGGGAGAAGAGTGAGCGAGTGAGTGAGTGTGAGGGAGGGGGGCGGCTGGGAATCGCCTAGAGCGGGGAGGACTCGACGGGCTTGGGCGTTTGAGGTTTTGGGAAGATTATTGGGATGCACATTGCACACCCCTCCCCAGACCGAAGCTGGTAATGCTCTCTGAAGTCGGAAGCCTGTCTCGGTCGAACAATCAGTGACCTACTTCTCCTTTTACGATGACTGCTGCCACGGTGACTCTACGCCCGTCAACCACTCCCTGCTCCCGACGCGCAGTTAGGTCAGAGGTGAGCTGTCCCCTTTCCCACGCCACTGCTCGAATCAACCTGCTTAGGTACTATCCTTCAGGCGTCGTGCTAGCTGTGATTGGGCCTTGCTGACTCTAGGCGTCTTCCTTATCCTATCTCCGATCGTACTTCTTACTGTGCGACGGTGCTGGGTTGCAGCTACGATCCCCCCCCTTCCCCCTCTCCCCCCAGACCGACAGGGAGCTCACCTTGACGGGGGAAAAAAAAGCTGACAGACAAAGAACTTCTCTCTGAGAGTACAGTAGGTCCGATCCTCCTCTGTCGTCTGCATTACTATTGCTATCGCCATGTCACATCTCTTTCTTCTCCGCCGGCTGGGGTGCAAGGGGGGGTCGTCTGCTGTTCGAGAGCGTGGCTTCTGCAAGGCTCTGCGTTCTAGTGGGGACAACACAATTCCTCGGGCGATGTGACAGCGGTTCAGGCTCTAACTACTAGCCACAGCAAAGATTCCCGTCCGTACCTGGATCATGGATGTCTGGCTTTGAGACTTGGTCGTGGAAGCTGATTAGTTGAAACCACACTGCAGTGCAAATCATCTCACCCATTTGCGAATCCTCAGGCTAAGTTCTTACTACATAGACTCTCTATTCTGTGAGCGGTGTCTAACTGACTGAGGGGAGGCAAAATCCAAGGGAAAAAAATAACAAATAATAGGGGCACGCGTCGCTGTGGGAAATCATGGTTCGCGACGAGAGCTTGGTTTCCTTTTCCCTTCTTTTACGTTTCTTCGATGGAGCCGCCTGAAAGAAGAGCAGACCCGTACCACGGTTCTAGTGAGCAAATGTATCGTCCTGACTCCCTGGGCAAACCGCCCACGGTAAGGCCCTGTAGAGGTTCCACCGTGGAAGAGCTCCAGAACACGTACGACGTTATGGAGTACAGTAGTAGTCGGTGGTCACTACGGAGTACGTGTGGATTGGGGGGGAAAAAAATCTATCTGGCCGCGGTGTGAAGATGATTAATATTATGGATCATATTCGAATCAATTTTCAACGCTGATTCAATCCCGAACCACTTAAGGGTGGGTGCCAATTCGCCTCTCCACGACCCAGAGATCCCCAACGACTGGCGCATCGCTAGAGGAGCGGTGTACAAGGCGTCACAGGCCAGCCGGTGATTGGAGTCAGCGCTGATCCATCTCAACTGATTGCCCTTTGGGTTTGTCATCCTTCACCCCTGAACCACTGAGAATGACACTTCCTTCGTGTGGGGATAGCGCAGCAGGTGAACCGCAGCAGGGCCAGGGGGACCCAGGCCAATCATCCAGAGCCACTTTTCTAGTCCGCTGCATGCTCATATTATTTTGATTCTGGCCCCCAAGACGAATGATGATGCGAAGAGCTTTGGTTCCTTGCAATCGATAAGAAGCACGGGGAATTCTATGGTACTTTACACAGTAACTAACCAACTGCCAACAATTAGGGAGTCATTTCTCGGTATGGATTCCGGAGTAGGTATGTTCTCCATAATTCATCTCGTCCTCCGTCCAGCATTCGACGTCCTCCGTGGGATTGTTGTTATTTGACCCATCAGATTTACCCCCCTGTGCTTTGACGGTTAATCATTTTTTTTAAACATGGCGCCGCCGTGTCAAATCAACCGAGCTTAGTCTTCCTGCCTGGGGTGCGCTATGAACGCCGAGCTGCGAAATCATCCCGTTGTGTTTGCCACTGGCGAGCCAGAAGCATCACTTGCATCTTCCAGGATCCATCGGTGATCTATGAGTGCTTGCGCCCGCAACCTTGGTCTCCACGGTCGGCACTCTTTGAAAATCCGGAAAGCTCTCCAGCGTGTAGTTTTCCATGGATCAGCTGTCCATCGGTCACCAGGGACACGTGATCTAGAGTGACTTCATTGCTTCAGTCTTCGGGGCTCACTCTGTTTACTGTTCAGTGCCTTACCCGACCTCGACGGCCAATGGGTGAATGGACAGGGCCATGTGGGAACGCTGCTGGCGAACATGCACATGACTGCCCGTTGAAAGGGTTCTGGATCGCAGGGATCACCCAGAGTTGTCTGCCAGGTGGCGGACAGCGTTTTGAAATTGCGGTCAAAGCAGTCCTTACCGCTACCAACGACTAAAGGACATTGGGACGGAGGACAGCCAGAGCAGTGACTAGGTACGGAGTACTACTCCGTACTGAGCTCGATCTTGAACGAGGCTGAAGCCAATTGCACACAAGCTGTTCGGATCCGTCGTACGGAGTATCTCGAACCAAGCTGTCACTTCCTACCATTGTGCGGCAACTAGCCAAGTGAACCAAGACAGCTGTGCAATTCGTCGAGGGCCGTGCCATCATCACGGAAAGTAAAAAAGAAAAATAAAAAAAAGGCAAAAAAAGGTGTGGAGCCTCTGAGACGACTAACCCATGCAGCCATTGTTGCCCAACCCCGCAGGTTGAAGCTGCCATACCGTTGTCATATGCCTGGAGAAGATCATCCCATGGTGCCGACACGCTCCTGGTTGGACATGTCGGAGAGATATGGCCATCTAGATGGAACCATTTTCCCGGGACCCAGCATTGATCGTTGCTTTCCAGAACGATTTTCCGTACTCCGTACAAAGGTCACCGCCCTCTTGGCCCCGTTTGATCTGATCGTCATCTCTTCCTCCAATTGTTTGAGTTGAGCAGCCTATGACGCAGTCCGCTTTACAGGGTCTGCAGTAGGTGGAGAAAATCGACGAGTACCCTGAGCTACCCGGCCACAGAAGGTCAGTACAGGATGAGAGACAACGCAATTTGCAGCAAGGCATGTGGCTGCATAATACAATGCGTTGGTCTGGTGAGTTGGGTCGTCGTCTCCTGCATCTCTAAAGAAGTGGATGACGGTACGGATTCCCCCCGTCAATCTACTGCATACTGAGTATGTAGTACCTCCATACCCCTGTGCTCCGTACATACCAGACGCCTAAGGTTAAGATTAGATCATGCAACTATGATCGAATGGCGTGGGTACCCAACTTCACCAACCCTTGCGAGAACCTACCTAGGCAGGCTTCTGGGTGTACTGCACACATCCACTTGGATCGGCCGCTCAGAAGAAGCCCGTGGCTATACGGAGTACAGATTGAAGTCATAGTTCCAAAGTACCTATCAATCAATGTAAACATCCTCTATGAAACGTTCTCCCGCTCTTCCAGTCAGAAATGAGGATTTATATTCAGGCGTAGCACCACATCTGGATTCACTCTGCAAGAAGACAGCTTTGGTTGAGTGACAGCAAAGTTCTATCGAGTACGGAGTACTCTGTAGCTGGTAACGAACGGCAGATCAATCATCCCCCCTCTAGACTCGCCGGTAGGACTAATGATCAATTGAAGACGTCTCCCAGTCACCTAGTTGGATTTCTGTCAAAGGGACCCTGCCTCTGGCCATTTTCGGAGGAGTACTGGGTTGGATACACGTCTCTTCTCCCAGACCGATGAATCAGACTGTGTGCGCGCCGAGGTCTCGTCTGACGTAATTAGTTGCTTGTGGAAGGAAGTTGGAGGAAAGGCATACCCACGAGGAATAGTAGCATGATTCCTGCATTGTAGGCTCGGTAGACGAGAGAATCGTGCTCGGGGTAGAGTGCCATTGACAACTCCATGAGATTGACAGCCTTGTGGTGATAAGTGCACTAACTGGATATAGTTAGAGCATCTCCAGCGATCTAACCTGTTGTAGACAGCTCGATGCTTATTAATCACTCCAGATGTAGTTAGATTAAAACTGGCCAGACTAACCGTTCTAGGACTTCTTGCTCCAGTGGACATCGGGAAATAATAATCTTGCCCCTCCAGAGAAGAAATTGTGCCGGGCAGAACCATCAGGGCCAGGACCCCCAACCACGCTCTCCGCTGCCTTTGAGATCAGATAGGACAGCCTGGGACTCTGATCTCCCATAGCGTTCGACACTGCGAGCCGCAATGCCTCCTCGTCGGAGGCCCCAGGCCGCTGCTGAAAACCAGCCGGGCTCTGCGCGCCCTTCTGAGGTACGAGATGGTATATCTGTGGTGACTGTTATGGAAACTCCTCTAACATCGTTTTAACAGCGAAAGCGAGCCTCCCAGTCGAAGCCGTCTGCCCAGCCCGCGCCCCCGACGCAGGCAGCGCCGCCGCACGCCGACCAGCAGGTGCCCGTGCCCGGGCCATCGTATCGTCCGCGAGATCCGTTCGATGCGCTCCTGGAGCCGTTCTACTACAATAAGTCGTTGACGGACCCAATCGACACCGCCAAGGACAAATGGAACCTTCTTCCCGCCTTCCTGAAGGTCAAGGGCCTGGTCAAACAGCACATCGACTCGTTCAATTACCTGGTGGAGGTGCAGCTGAAGAAGATCGTCGAGTCGAGCAACATCATCCGCAGCGATGTCGACCACAACTTTTACATCAAGTTCACGGATATCTACATCGGCGCTCCGCGCCGCACGGATGAACAGCAGGATGCGACGGGGTTCGAACACCAGTCCACCATCACGCCGAATGAATGCCGGCTCCGCGACACGACGTATGCCGCTCCGATCCAGGTCGACTTTGAGTATGTTCGTGGCCGCCAGCGCGTTCTCAGGAAGGGTATGGCTATCGGTCGGATGCCCGTCATGCTTCGCAGCTCCAAGTGTGTCTTGGCGAACAAGACCCCTAGCGAGATGAGCGTGTTGGACGAGTGTCCCCTGGACCCCGGCGGCTACTTTATCGTCAATGGAACTGAGAAGGTCATCCTGGTCCAGGAGCAGTTGAGCAAGAACAGAATCATTGTCGAGACAGATCCAAAGAAGGAGATCGTGCAGGCCTCCGTGACCAGGTAAGACTCTAGCATGAACTTGCGATTATCAATGGCGGGCTCTTTACTGACCTGGCTGATTATAGTTCTTCCAACGAGCGCAAGTCGAAGAGTTACATCGTCTTGAAAAAAGATAAGCTGTACGTGAAACACAACGTTCTGAGCGAGGATATTCCCATCGTCATTCTATTGAAGGCTATGGGCATCCACACCGACAAGGAAATGCTCCTTCTCGTGGCCGGTTTGGATAAACTGTACCAGGAGGATTTCGCCATCAACTTTGAGGAAGCAATCAACCTCGGTATCTTCACACAACAACAAGCGCTTGACTGGATCGGGTCTCGAATCAAGATCAACCGCAGCAAACAAGGGGCCTACCGCCGGACCCATGTGCAAGAGGCAGTGGAGGCCATCGCTACCGTTATCATCTCACACATTGAAGTCAAAGACATGAACTTCAGGCCAAAGGCGATCTATGTTGCCCACATGGCTCGCCGTGTTTTGATGGCGAAGAACGACCCGACCCTGGTGGACGACCGCGACTACCTCGGAAACAAGCGACTGGAATTGGCAGGCCAGCTTTTGGCGCTGTTGTTCGAAGATCTTTTCAAGAAGTTCTGCTTCGATACCAAGATGAATATCGATAAGGTGTTGAACAAACGTAACCGCGCCGAGGCCTTTGACGCCTGGAGTGTCATGAGCATGCATGGCAATCATATCACGCAGGGTATGAATCGGGCAATTTCCACTGGTAACTGGAGTTTGAAGCGTTTTCGCATGGAACGTGCGGGTGTGACACACGTCCTCAGTCGGTTGAGTTACATTGCGGCATTGGGTATGATGACGCGTATCAGTTCCCAGTTTGAAAAGACCAGGAAGGTCAGCGGTCCCAGAGCGCTGCAGCCCTCGCAGTTCGGCATGCTTTGTCCAGCAGATACCCCTGAAGGAGAGGCGTGCGGGTTGGTTAAGAACTTGGCTCTGATGACACATATTACCACCAACGACGAGGAAGGACCGGTGCGAAACTTGATCTTCATTCTCGGCGCCGAGGACATTGCTACCGTCGGTGGCAAGGAGCTTTACGGTCGTGGTTGTTATACCATCTCCATCAACGGTACGCCCACTGCGCTGACAAGACGCCCGAAATACTTCCTCAACGCCTTCCGACGATTGCGCCGTATGGGGAGGATTTCCGAGTTTGTGAGCATCTATATCAACCATCACCAGTGCGCCGTTCACATCGCCACCGATGATGGCCGCATCTGCCGACCGCTCATTGTAGTGGAAAACGGCAAATCCCGGGTGAGCGTCCAGCACTTGAGCAAGCTGCGCGATGGTACGATGCAGTTCGATGACTTCCTCGCCCAGGGCTTGGTCGAGTACCTGGATGTGAATGAAGAGAACGACTCGCTTATTGCGGTCTACGAGAAGGACATCGGTGACACAACTACCCATCTAGAGATCGAGCCCTTCACGGTGTTGGGAGCAGTGGCGGGTCTCATCCCGTACCCTCACCACAACCAATCGCCCCGAAATACATACCAGTGTGCTATGGGTAAACAAGCCATTGGAGCCATTGCCTCGAATCAGTTCCTTCGGATCGACTCCATCCTGTACCTCATGGTGTACCCACAGAAGCCTATGGTGAAGTCCCGCACGATTGAGCTGACAAGGTACGATCAGCTCCCCGCTGGCCAGAACGCAATGGTGGCGGTCATGAGTTACTCTGGATACGATATTGAGGACGCTCTTGTGTTGAACAAGGGGTCCGTGGACCGTGGTTTCGGGCGATGCCAGGTCTTCCGGAAACAGGTGGCGATCCTCAAGAGCTACTCAAACGGCACCAGAGACGCTCTCTCGCCGCCCGAGTATGAGAACGACGCCCCGATCCGAAAGCACGCGCTACTGGAGCCCGATGGTCTGGCTGCCGTCGGGGAACAAGTCAACGCAGGGGAAGTCTACATCAACAAATCAACCCCGAAGCAGTCACTCTCCTCCGGGATCACAGGCTCGGATGTGGGCCGACCGATCGAGTACGCGCCGACACCGATGACGTATAAGCTGCACGACCCGGCTTACATCGACAAAGTCATGCGCTCGGAGACCGAGGGTGGCAACCAGATCGTCAAGGTGCTCACGCGACAGACCCGTCGGCCGGAGGTGGGCGACAAATTCTCCTCGCGCCACGGGCAGAAGGGCGTGGTGGGGATCATCGCGGACCAGGCGGACATGCCGTTCACGGACGCGGGGATCAACCCGGACATCATCATGAACCCGCACGGTTTCCCGTCGCGCATGACGGTCGGCAAGATGCTGGAGCTGGTTGCGGGCAAGGCGGGCGTGCTCTCCGGGCAGCACGGGTACGGGACGTGCTTTGGCGGCAGCCCTGTGGAGGAGATGTCGCAGATCCTGATTGACCACGGGTTCAGCTACGGCGGCAAGGACTACCTCACCTCCGGAATCACGGGCGAGGCGCTACCCTTCTACGTCTTCACGGGGCCGATCTACTACCAGAAACTCAAACACATGGTTCAGGACAAGATGCACTCGCGCGCACGCGGGCCGCGCGCCATCCTCACCCGCCAGCCGACAGAGGGTCGGTCGCGCGACGGTGGCCTCCGGCTCGGCGAGATGGAGCGCGACTGCCTGATCGCCTACGGGACCAGCCAGCTGCTCCTCGAGCGCCTGATGATCTCGTCCGACACCCACGACGTCGAGATCTGCGAGCACTGCGGCTTCATGGGCTACCTCAACTGGTGCCAGCGGTGCAAGTCCTCGCGCAGCGTCGTCAAGATGGCCATCCCTTACGCCGCAAAACTGCTCATCCAGGAACTCATGAGCATGAACGTCACCGCCAGGCTGAAGCTGGAGGACGAATTCCCTGAAACAAAGGGGCGGTAACCTGTATCAATTCATGGTTTTGTGTATTGGAGATGGCGTTGGCTGGTCTTTTCTTTATGATTACATTGCAATGCATAGCGCAGCGAAGAAAAAAAAACCCATCTATCTTCTACTCTTTTGTTAAACAAGTATAAGTACTCCATACTAAGGAAAAACAAGGTTCGATTCAAAAGCCACACGCTGATACTTTGTAAAGTTGATGCGCTCCTCGACCATCTTGTCCCGGAAGCACACCGACTCCTGGACGGTAAAAGGAAAGCCGTCCTTTCGATCGAGCATCCGGTCCTGCATCTCGGGAGGCAGCTTGTCGACGGTGTCATGGTAATCGCAGAGCTCGCGGGCCTCGGGGGTCCAGTCGGCGCGCTGCGGGGGCACGTTGGCTGTCGAGATGATCCGGATGTTCGGATCGATCAGGTATGTCATTAGTATCGAGGCGTGGCCTGATTTGCTGGGGTCGTCCAGTGCCCAGGGCAGGACTTTATGCTGTAGCGTGCTGGGGAAGACGAGGTTGCGGCCTGGGGTGCAGTCCATCTCGCCGACGACCTGGACGCTGGGCTGGCCGCGTTCCAGCCCGAAGACCTGTTTCAGCCAGAGGGAGTCGCCGGGGTCATGGCGGACGTGGGCGAGGTAGCCTGTTTCTGCGATTTGGCGGATCCGAACTGGATGCGACTTGATGTTGTCGCTGTCGAAGACGTAGACGGAGATTGCGCAGATATGCTCGTTCTAGAATGTCAGTGAAACTAGTCAAACTGTGGTCAAAGAGAAGAAGAAGAAGAAGAAGAGATTTACTAATTGGCCTTCAACATGCCAGTCTGACTCGAACGCATCGTCTCCCGGGTTTAATTCGATCTTCATCAGACGGAAGATGAGCTGGAGCCCGCGCTCTCCATACTCCTGGTTGATGTCGCATGCTTGCTCGATACGAACGGGATACGGCTGGTCCTGCGGGATATGCTGCATCATCCACGAAGGGAGCGCCCAAGGGCGAAACCGGTCGCAGTCCGGCTGGACGACTCTGCAGTTTCTTGCGCGCCATTCGTCGAGCCGAAGGGAGTACTCGTAGTCGGTCTCTCCCTGGGAAGGCTGGGGGCGTGTGGCCACGACCTCCTTGGGCATGGGGTGGTATTTGACATCATGGTACTCGATCCTGGCGCGGGAGTGCAGCATGTCCTTCATCGGGGTCAGACATGAATTCCACAGCGGGATCATGCAGTTGATGTATTCGTCGAAGAGGAGGTAGAGGTTCTTGTTCTCGACGGGATGCAGGTTATTGATATACGTCGAGACGCGCCACTTGCCGTCGTCGCCGAGCGAGGCCTCACAGGGGAGCAGCTGGAACTCGGTGCTGAAGGGCTTGATTTTCAGATCAGACCGTGCGGCCACTCGCCACGCCATGTCCTCGCGAGTCAGGCCTCCTGATTCAGGGCAGGGGATGGTTTCCCCTTGCTTGATGGCATCCAGGGCGTCGTCCAGGCTGAGCAGTCGGTCTGGCAGGATGCGGCTTCGCCCGAACACAAGCGGATACATGGCGACGGGGATGACGTCCCGCTGCTTGCTGCTGCCAAAGGGAATCGCATGCGGGTCGATGGGATCCCCTGATATCGTTGGCATCCTCCTTACGGCGTCCGTAAGCCTGTGACGGAGAGACTCGGGCACCGCGATATCAGACTTGACGACATCCCCGTTATACAGACACAAGGCGCCCGTTCTCTCGTAGATTTTGGCCTTGAAGCAAAGCTCGTCGATGATCCAGTCCGCCATGTTGGGGGTAATGTCGCAGTCGCTTTCCAGGGCCTCCTTCTTCCACTGGTCTGCGATATCCGGATCGAAGATCTGATTGTAAAAATATTAGAACCACGTCACAACCCAACATATCATCGCAGAGAAGAATGCATACCTCTTCAAACCACCTCGGTCGGTCAGTAAGATACTCCATGAATTTCAACATCTTGATTTCGCGAAGGGTCTGCACCGGCTGGCTGGATTTCCTTCAGTTTTCATTCCACAATCCTTCCCTGGTGACGTGCTTACTCCGCATAGCCTTTTTGGATATCCCGGTCGTCAAGCGACGTGGGAAAGAGACTCTTGTTTTGAACGCCATAGACATTCATCTTCACGGGTATGTAGTCGATAGGCAGACCGTACCCTGGGAGCTCTAATCTGTTCTCGCCCGCCGGAAGCACGCCTGTCTTGAAGGGCTCAGTTCGGGGGGGACTTTGGAACATCGTGGCGGGTTTGCATGCTAGTATAGTACACAGTGTAGGTTAGTATAGTATAGGCATGCCATGATTTTATCATCCAGAGAGAGGGAATCACGTAATGCTTGTTCGTTTTCGAACTCATCCAGCCAGATGATGTACGACTGGCATCAGGTCATCCTGGACCATGGAAGACCTGCCGTCAATAAGAGCTATTTAGAAGACCTACCGTCGATAAGAGCTGTTAGATGAAGACAAGAAGTTGAGTCTTGCTCAAACACTCGTATGAGATCTTGTCTCTTCCCTGCAAATATAACGCATTCACAGGCAGACTAGCTTCGTTGGGCTTCAGTACTGTTCAAATCCGATTCGAACGTCTGTTGGACGTAGGAGGTGCCACGGGATTCTATCCCGGCAGCAAGAGATCGTGTTATGGAAATCGTCATAGCAGCGGGAATCTTCCGGTCCAGCGTATTAGAGACTCGAAGTATGGGGATGGAAGAAGGTCGACTATATTTGTACCCATTACTGTGCTTATTCAATATGATTAAAGACAGACTGATATTTTCTCCATACATAGATATCTAATTAACCATTGTACAATGCATGCTAGCAGCAGGTTTCATCTTTGGGATGCAGTGTATGCTTGGCACAGATGCAGGCTTATCTCTGCCACCATCCAATGATGAAATTAGTATTCCTAGGTAAGTCAGGGAAAGAAGAGTAAAGGTATTGCAGAGTACCATGTACTCCATATGATTTTATCTAGTCTAGTGCCGAATGATGTAGAAGGAGTTCATTCCAGCAAGTCACATTTTCTTGCCTAACCGCCAGCTAAAAAGAGAGAGAGAGAGAGAGAATGAGCCATCCGATCACGCCTCAGAAACCTCATATACAGGAGCCACTGAGATGACAGGCCCGTTCTTGGTGGGGACCTCCTCCCACAGAGCACTGCTCGCAGGGAACAAGGACCCGCCGTTAGACACCTCGAAGGCGACGACGTCCTCGCTGGCCACGTCAAAGTGTGGAACGACCAGCTCCACGCCCTTGACCGCGTTGGAGCTATGGTGGCGCGGGGGTAGGGGGCGATGGATCAGCTCGGGCGCATAGCTCATATAGTCAGACGAACTGCTGCTGCTATAGGAGGATGTTGGGGTCGTGGGGGAGTGGGCGAGCGAGGGCAGCGTGGTGGCGGCGGGGCCATTGGCCAGCGTTGACAGACTGGCTGTGCTTCGGTGGCCGGCGGCATCGGGACGACGCTCTGGAAGCTTCACGGGCGCGTGTTCGCCGTGGAAGCGTGACAGGAACTGCCAGGCTTCGGACGAGGCCCGCGAGCTGGCCGCCGCGGGCCGGATGGATATTACAGGCTTCCATTCAGTGGGATCAGGATCCGAACAGACCATGTGCAGGTCTGTGGGTATCCGGATGGCGGGAATCGACCCGGTGGGAGCTCTGGTGGGAGTCATAGGCGCGACAATTATGCGAGGCGAGAGAGGGGGCGATGAGGGAGGTGTGGTGGCAGTGATGGTGAAAGAGGAAGAAGCCATAGATGGAAGGGAGGCGGAGAGAGGCTTGCACGAATCTTTGCGGCGGCAACTGTAGAAGTTAGAAGAGGGTACTACATATATAGATAGATAGAGAGATAGATAGATAGATAGATAAGCAAGTGGGTCATACCTTTCGCTGCAATACAGGAGAGAATTGTCAGGCACGGTGATTTGTCTCTCACACATGGCGCTGAGAGTACAAGGTCAGCTTATCATGTGGCAGGGTGCTGCAAGGGCGGCGACGCCAGAAGAATGCCGAGAAAGACAAGGGGAGGAAGGAAGAGGGGGTGATAGAAAAAAGAAAAAAAAAAAAAAAAACATACCAGAAATTCAAGAAACTGGTGGCCATCTCGGATTGTGTGTCGTCGTCGACGTCGTCGCCGGTGGCAGCGGTCAAGTCGAGGGATCTAGAATGGCCTACTAAACCAGGGCCAAGCTTGGAGATGGAAGAAGACCCTTTGTTGCGGTGGATCGCTGGATGGGAGGATCTCAGCGCCGGCGACTTGAAGACATGCGACGAGGCAGACAGAGCCCGACGATGGGCAGGGTGGGAATAAGGATGTGATTGAGTCATGGATGGCGGTGTAGATCTATCGCTTCCATCCAGGTTCGTTGAGAGTACCTTGCGCCAGCAGGCTGGATCCCGGAGTGGAGCACGAGCGGATTCCCCTGAGCGAGGTGCCCTACGGAGCTCCGTACGGCGTGTTATGAGGGATTTGCACGCTGAAGATCGATTTGTCTAGGGGAGCCAATTGGGAGGAGTCTCAAACGGAAGGTGACGTCTATTTTGAAGTTGCGGTATGCGAGATCGCGTTATATTGCCCCGGAGCGATGCAGACGAGCAGCGAGAGAAGAGGGGTTTTTTTTCCCTCTCTTCTTGGTTGGAATCCCCAGCGTCCCAGAGCACAGGCGCCCTGCACAGCGGCGAAAAAAACAAGGACTTCTAGCTTCTAGAGGTGACACACCAGGTCAGATAGGTCACTCTCGGAGTGTCGGTAACACCGACTAAGGGAGCCGATTCGCTGCCCTGGCCGTTATCAGGAAGAATGAGTGGGGGGTGGGAAGATAAGCAACAAGGGATACAGAAGATGCAGAGGATGAGGAATAAGAATGATGGCAATTGAGGGAGGTACAGTAATCCGTACGCACGGTAAATCTGGGCCTGGTTGGGATTGAAAGTACTCCGTACCTCTCAGACGTCGGTGGCCGTAAGCAGGTAAGATGGTAGTAGAGCCGTCTCGGTGAGGATCCGGTAGGAAGGAAGGAGGGTAATCTCTAATCAACACGACAAACCGAAGCGAGGGTGCGGAGTAATGATAGTTATATAAGAATGTCACAGGAGAGACTGTGGAGTGGACAGCAGCAACCAGAGAAGATGGTGGATACTGAGTCCAGAAGTCCACGTCAGGGCGATCACTGGAGGAGGAGGAGGAGGAGGAGGAGCTGGAGCTGTTAGCAGGCACATACTCCGTAAGCCCAGGTCACGCCATTCCACGTACCCGTGTTAGCAAAGGCCTGGACTCTGGTGCCTGAGGCAACAGCACTCCACCGTAACAGATCTATAATTAGATTGTATACTCCGTACCCAGAGTATGTGATATAGTAGTTAACAGGTACCTACCGAACCTACCTAGGTAGATAGGTACTTGTTGATACAGTATATGTAGATACCTACAGTATATTAGATGTAGTTTATTATCAGTAGTAACTATGTAGTATATCGCTTCATCATTCTGCCTCGATTCCCATCAATTGACGGATAGCATCGGGCACAGTCAGGCTGCCGGAACAATCAATATCCAGACATACCTAGTATTCTGTAGACTAAAAGATTTATGCTAGCAGTGGTACGGAGTAGAAGGACCTGGGAAAAATGGATCTGGGCTGACAATTGGAGCTGACAAGTGCTGTCCGTGCACTGATTGGACGGGAGGAAATGTGCGCAGATGACGTGATGCATCAGGGCGCTCTTATTGGCTGAAGCGGATGATCTACCGATGGCGGGAGTCTTCTCTGGTCATGACGACATTGTCTTAGTCATCGGAACAGTCCACGTCCCAGATTGGTCTAGACTCTGCATTGCGTGGGCGTTGACTCTGAATTGCGTGATATTAGGTAAATGATCCTTTGTAGGACTTACTCTACTCTGTATCTACTCCGTAGGTTGGTGAAGGATGTCCTTCTGCATGTGTCAAACTCTGAATTAACTTGTGATATATCGAGTAAATGCTAAGCTAGACGGAAGATCAAATACCCTAGACTATCAGTCTGATCGATCTGCCGATCAACAATCAATCAACCTCTAATAATGATGTCGAGCTTGACACTCTTCTAGAACCACGATCCCATCACCGGGGGAATTCTTCCCGCGTGCTGTCCACGGCTCGCGGTGGGGATGTGGTTGCCGTCGCCAGAGTCGATGAGTTCATGTTGCATCGGCCAAAAATCCACTCGCGGAAGCTGTGCGACTGCTGCCTTGACTGCGGGTGTAACTGAGGTACAGAGTACGGAGTACGGAGTAAGGTACTGACTGACCTACGAGGTATTCTTCACTGCGCTCTACTGAGCGAGACTCGGGCATCTACTTAGGTAGGAACCTCAGGCATCAAGTGCTCCTAGTACGAAAGGTACGACAAATGATCATGATTATGACGATTGGGTATCTCAGTAAATATACAAGCCTATCTGATAACATTACGACTTATCCACCTCGACAGCATCCGCTGGGACAGAGACAGTGGCAGAGACGGTGGCAGGGAGAGCATTTCCTGCCTTCTCTGGCCCCGTGGCCGTCGGGTCCAAGAACCGCTCGGGGACCCCCCGAGCGGCGATCCCGACAGGGCCGACGTAGCAGCCCAGCATGGTGCTCCACGCGTACTTCTGCTCTGCCGTGCGGCGAATCTCGCGGTAGGCGTGTGCGTTTGCAAAGGGGAGCGCCGTCGTCGTGTGTTTGTACCGTGACGGTTGCGAGGTGATCACGCAGAGCGAGGAGGAGATCTCTATAGATGTAGTTAGCATGGGCCAAAAAAAGGAAGAAAAGAAGTGGACAAAGGGGGGAACGTACTGGTCAGCCTGGGAGGCTTCTTCGCGTTGAAGTAGATGCTAAACTCTTTGCTCTGCGCGGTCTTGTCGTCGAAATTCTCAAGCACCGTGAGATTGCGGCCTGTCTTCTCGATCACTGGAGGTGCTGGAGGACCGGCTGGTACATCTGCGGTTTCTGCTGTGGTTGCTGCTGTAGGTTCTACAGGAACGACAGCAGTCGCATCCGTAGGTGCCGGAGTAGGTTCTTGTATATTCTCGACCTTCTCGGCTGGTCCTGCAACTGCATCTTCGACTGGTCCTGTCACGGGCTCGATACCTTCTGCCGAGGGCTGGTCGCTCAGCTTCGGTTGTTCCTGGCCTGCGTCTGGCGTAGTGTCCATGGCATCGATGGCACCTTGGTCCTTGGCGCTTTTATCTTCGTCCATCTCCATTTTATCTCCTTCTGTGTGTTTCGGCCCCCTTGACGGGGGTGGCACGATGATAGAAAAGGAGGGTGTTCTGGTGGGAGTCATGGGGGGTGCCGATGATTCAGTCAGAGGTCTAGGAGGGTCTTCGTTCTGCGAGAGCGGCTCTTTGGCTCCCTTGTCTTCACTTGGCATCTGTCCTTCCTTGGGTGAGGTGGTTTCTTTCGGTGTCATATTCACAGATGTGGACGTAGCTGCCGGCTGGGAGGCTTCGCCGAACGGTTCGTCTTGTTCAGTAGTACTTGATTCTTGCTGGACGGCTCCGTTTTCAGGGAGCGTTTCTCCTGGTACTTGGGATATCTGCGGGTTCTGCTCTGCTGTCTTTTCTGTCTTTTCTGCCTTTTCTGCTGCCTCTTCGGTTGTCTTTTCTGGCGTCTCTTCTGTTCTCTTTTCTGCTGTCTCCTCTGTCTTTTCTGCTGTCTTTTCTGCTGTCATTTCTGCCGTCTCTGCTGCGTTTCCTTCCACTGCCTTTTCTGTTGGCTGTACTTCGGCTGCCGTTTCACTAGGCTTCGATTCGTGACCTTGGACAGTTGGCGCCGTTGCTGTTGCATCTCCTTGCAGCTCGGAAACAGCATCAGGCTTTTGCTCGGCGATCGTATTGCCGTCGGCACCCTTCTCTTCGTTGTCTCCCTTCTTCTTCTTTCGAGATGCATCGTCCTTGTCGGCCTTGGGCGTGATGTCTGCTTTCCCGACACGCTTCAGGGTACCATCGACCCATGTGGCGACACCGCTCCAATAAGTCATGACCGGCCCCTCCAGACGGCGGTTCTGGAGGGCCTCGATTTTGGCTTTTCTCTCGGCGGCCTTCTTCCTCTCCATCTCCTCCCAGCGATTCAGAGTCTTGCTGTTCACCCGTTCCACCCTCTCGGCCTCTGCCAGTCGCTGAGCCTGTGTCATCTGCTTTGGTTTATGCGCCGCCTTTCGTTTGGCGGCCTCCTCCATCGTCGCGATCAGTCGGATGCGCTTCTTCTCGCTGGCCTGGAGCCGAGCATGCGTGAGTTCCTTGTTCTGCATCGTCTGGCGGCGGGAAGACGAGCGCGTCGGCCCGTCATCCACCGTAGGGAGCCAGGAGATGCGCTCCGACTTCTTCTTCGGCCGCGGGGGTTGCTGCGGTGCTGTTGCTGGGATGGCCGTCGGATCGATCTTGACCTTTTTCCGTAGAGCAGTGAGCCGTAGGTTCTCCGTCGCCTTGCGCTTCTTGCGGTCCTCCTTTGCTTGTTTTTCTAGCTCCCGTTCGCCTTCCAGATCGTCCGCCTGCACGTTCGGTCCCTGATCCTCCTCGTCCGAAGACGATGAATCCATCCCCATATCGTCTTCCTGGTCTCCACCCCCCTCCTCCATGGAGAAGTCATTGTCGTCCTCGACTTCCTCGAATAGAAGCGCAAGATCATCGTCGGCCTCGGCATCCAACAGGGCTCCCATGTTCTTTCCGGCGGTCGCTCGCTTCGCACGCCCTCCCACGAGGGTTTCTACGGGATCAACATTATCCTCTGTGGAGGATTGGACTCCGGAGGACACGGTATCTTCCGTCATCTTGTCTTCCATGTTTGTGTTTGAATCGATATTATCCGGCGAGAGAAAATTAAAGCGGAGGTTTCGGGCATGAGGGTCGCGTAGAAACGCGAGGCGAACAGCGCGCGGCGGAACAGCTCAGTGCTGCTTGACTTCAACCTGAGCAAAGTGGAGAAATGGGTATCAAATGATTGAAATGGAAAAAGGAATGAACACAATAAGAGAAAGAGAAGGTAGAGGAGAAGTTTAAGATGGGGGAATGCAAAGCTGCAAGGCGTGATCCGCGCGATCAGTGCCAGTGGAAATGCTGTGGCGGTGCTCATCTGTGCCTCAGGCATAAGTTATTGCCTGAATGCCTGAGATGGTTGCCAAAAGACCATTTTTCCTCACCCCTCATGGCTCTATCATTGTATTTGCAGCAAGAGTATTTGGGCGTAATGAGTCTATGTGTTAGAATCCAGCATATATATCTACTGTATTCCGTAATTCTATACCAATCTGTTAAATCTACTCGCTACTTAGAGGTATTGAACGACAACACATAATTTGGGATGAATGCTTGGATACTCCGTATGAAAGATGGCAGGAGTAGAGTTAGCGATTGACAGGATGTTATGTATGTAGTAGCAGTGTATCAATTCCTAGACCGATGACAGGTGACGCCGCGAGGGCATGTTTCAGATCCCTTGCAACGGTTCGAGCACCGGGGCTATTTGTGAACCCTGTCGTGATCTGTGTGGGTGTTTCAAAACGATGAAACTCATCGATCCGTGGATACCTAGCATTCTCAGTTTTTATAGGTTCAGAGCAGATACCCAGATGGCGTTCCAGCATCAGTCTGTCTACCCCTTGGCCAAGGACACTGAAACGTCAAAAGCCTCTCTGTCTAATAGTGAATTGTGTATCGCTGGAATGCGGGGACTATCAGGCATGAAGAACATGCAACAACACCCGGCGGGATCCGGAGGTATAAAATAACGTACGGAGGATGGGAGTCGGCATGAACGTGTCCCGGACTATCGAATACCTACCTCGCAGTTAGCTGTCACCGTTGAGGAAGCGCTTCCCTTCTGTACCAAGTGAGGAGCCAACCTGTCACTTCTCCGTAGCTGCTCCATAGATCCCTTCGTTACCCACAGTCCCCGGGGAGTGACGTGAGACCTCAGAGACACCAGCTGCTAGTGAAACGGCGAAGAAGCCATGACGACGACAAGTCCACCGCTTAGAATAATAGATTCAAGAGTGTGTCCGTAGAGTGTTCTTAGAGTCGCAGTTGGAAACCAGCGAGGGTGAAGCTCTCCCTAATCGCTCTCTCTCTCTCTCTCTCTGCCTGGGCTGGTCACGAGCCTCGACAACTCCCACCAGACCACCAAAAACAAACTCCCACCAGAACAAAAACACCGTCTCTCAATCCAAATTCCCCTCCAGCGAGCTCCAGCACGCCAGAGACGGCCAGGCGAAGCTGTAAAGAGCATCTGGCCTCTCCCAGAACAGCCCAAACACCCTGCAAACCCTGCAAACCAACCAAGGGCCCATGACAGCCCTCGGAGCGCCGGCTGAAGCTCCCAGGTCCAGCGCCGACCATTAATCTTGTTGCTTCACACCTTTCGATCTGCTCTCCCCTCTTCCCGCCAACGCCGATTTTTTTTTTCTTGTGTGTTCAACGCTTCGATCCCTTCTTCCCTGTCGTTCAGCACTGACAGCGGTACATCTGGCCTTGTGGTCCCTTTTTTTCCGCCTTCGCCTCTTTTTCCCGGAGCCGCGCAACGGCCTTTCCAGCCACCTCGATCCTTTCTGATCCGTACCTGGACGAACGAACGGTCTTTACCCAGTCGCTCGACCTGCTCTCCCGCCGTACGAACTACGATTGTTGAGCCGAATATATTCTCTTGCTATTTTCTATAATACTGGAATAATTAATCGCGGGGGATTGGTTGTCGACAAGTGTGTTCCCTCACGCCCCCAACGAGAATTATCGATCGTTCAACCGTGTTGGGAGGATCTGCTCGAGTGGTCTCAGCCTGCAAGAATAACTGCTGGGCCTGAAGGAGTTTTTCCTGCATAATAGATACGGGGGTGTCTTTTTTTTTTTCTCTTCTCCTGCACAATCACCCCCAGTCCGACTATCCTATTTAATTGGCAAGCTCTTGAGACAATCTGTTCGCTGGCTCGGATTTTTCCTTCCAATATCCTTATTTGTTCAGATTGGGGTCTTGTGCTGGCCCCTTCGATGAATTTCACGACGATCCGCCTCCCCTGATACCGTCGTCCTGTCGAGCAGTCACAGAATTGCGAACCCCACCTGGGCTTTTTTTTCTTCCTTCGTCGTCCCCTTGGTCACAGATATCTTAGACCGGATAATTGAGAGAGCTGCCTGAAGTGAGGCAGAAGGAGATAATCAATAATGCTTCCCGTGTCGCGACCGGAAGGTCATATGAACCTGAACTACATCCCCACCTCGCAGTCAATGTCGGGGACGTCCACAGGGAGCAGCTCCCCGAACGAGCTGCCAACCTCCTCTACGATGAAGTCGTCTTTCGGGCCCGCCAATGGTCTCACCAGCACTGCTGGTCCGATCGGAAATGCGAGGCTAGGGGCTGGATCCCCGTCTCACGAGCTAGGGGCTCGTCTCTATTCTAAACGGTAGGTTTTACTCTCTCCATCTGAGAGCGAGTGTCCCACTGACATATGCCTTTTTTCTCGATTCACTGCAGAGCACGCGAGATCCAAGCACAAGAGGGCGTCTCCCCCAACATCTGGGGGCCGCCCACCAGCGGCCATTCGACCCCACTCCGAGAAAACATTCCCGAGTCTCCGAGCCAAGACGAGTTTCCGGATCTCATGCCCGTCTCGGATGGTGTGATCAGCAGCCCTGCGCGGAGAGCGCGAGCAGGCACCGTTCCATCCCGCTTCCCACCAGTCGGGACTCTGAACGGAGTCTCCGTTCAGCAGCCGTTCACGTCCAAGAGCTCCAGGCCGACTCCCTCGACCAGCCCGTTTCGGCCTCCCGGTGTCTCGAGCATAGACACCGGCAGCAAACCGGCAACCGCCGGCGGCAGCAACCCCACGGCGCTGTCTCGTCTCCGTGCCGGCTCGATGCCTCAGCGAGCTAGTTTACTCGGCACCTCCAGTCCCTTTGGCCCGTCGCTGTTTTCCACCAGCTGGTCTACAGGTCGGGAACGGGCAACAACTCTGGCAAGCATCCGTTCCTCTGAAGGCCCTGCTTCACCGAGTCAATCGTCCTTCTCCAGGGAAGGGCTCGCCGATACCGATGTGAGAACACTGGACTACCTGGGCCTGGTAGAGACCCCCCAACAATCGCTTGCCTCTCTGGCTCGTCCTGTTGACTTGTTGCTTCAACAGCAACAGCAGCAGCAGCAACAACAGCAAGCCTCTGCCCTACCACCATTGCTTGCCGAGCTGGCGATGATGAAGAACAACAGCAGATTCCGTTCCTACTCTGTCAATGCCAAGGAAAAGTACGCTGAAGATGACGAACTTGAATACGAAAGCCGATATTCTCAACTCCCCTCCGGCACCTTGACCCCGTCCGCGGCGGCTACGGCGGCCCAACTGGCCGCCACGCAGGCTCAGATTCACCAGCATAACCTTGCCGTCCAGGCGTTTGCTTCTCACGCTTCTGCCAGCCGGCCCCGCGCACGCACTGCCGGTATTCTGGAAGCCCCTCCCCAACGGTCTTCGATCCGCAACTACTTGGCAACTCCGTCCCGACTCGAACACAGCATCAGCGCCGCTGATCTTCACATTCCCGAGGGCGCAGAATATGACGAACTTTCGGAAGCCGTGCAGATGTTGCAGCTCGGTGGTCCTGGCGCATCCAACCTGGGAATTCGGGGAGGCACCGAGCCCGTGGATGAGACCAACCAAGATGGCCCTACTCGTGCATTGTGGATCGGTAGCATCCCCGTCTCCACCACCGTAACCTCCTTGGAGGCGATCTTTGGGATGTATGGCAAGATCGAGTCAACTCGCGTCCTGACGCATAAGAACTGTGGCTTTGTCAACTTCGAGCGCCTGGATAGTGCCATTCAGGCGAGGTCGCTGCTCAACGGCAAGGAGATCTTCCCCGGAGCAGGACCCGTGCGCATTGGCTACGCCAAGGTTCCAGGGTCCTCTGCGTCGGGCACGCCGGGCGCAAATGGCATCCAGTCATCCCCCACCCCGGACCCAAATTTCAAGTCAAGTGCGGCTCCGTCGGACGTCAACGACAAATTTGACGGTGCTGGCTCCCATGTGCCCCAGATTGCTCCCCTCGCAGAATTGCACCCGGAGATGGTGCAAATCGTGAGAGAGTTTGGCGCCACCCAGGAAGACTGCAATGCTATCGAGTCTCAGATCAAGAACGCCATCGCTTTTACTGCTTTCCAGGATGAAATCCCTTCTGTTCCCGAACCCAGTCAGGCGCGGATGTTTGATGCTCCACGCCTGCGCGATATCCGGAAGCGGATTGATAACGGCGCTTGCTCCATGCAAGAGATTGAGGAGACGGCCAATGGGATGCTTCCTGAAATCGCAGAGCTGGCCTCGGATTACCTTGGCAATACCGTGGTACAGAAACTGTTCGAATACTGCTCCGAACAAACCAAGGAGCAGATGCTCATCCAGATCGCGCCGCACCTGGCCGAAATCGGGGTCCACAAGAATGGAACTTGGGCTGCGCAGAAGATCATTGACGTGACCAAGGCACCCTCTCAGATGAAGATCATCATGGACGCCCTCAGACCATATACCGTTCCCCTGTTCTTGGATCAATACGGCAACTATGTGCTCCAGTGCTGCCTGCGCTTTGGCAGCCCTTACGATGATTTCATCTTCGAGACAATGCTTTCTCGCATGTGGGAGGTTGCTCAGGGAAGATTCGGGGCTCGCGCCATGCGCGCCTGTCTGGAGAGCCACCATGCGACCAAGGACCAGCAGCGCATGCTGGCCGCTGCCATTGCCCTTCACAGTGTTCAACTGGCCACCAATGCCAACGGTGCTCTCCTGCTCACTTGGTTCCTTGATACCTGCACCTTCCCCCGCCGCCGCACGGTGCTCGCTCCTCGCTTAGTCCCGCATCTGGTGCACCTCTGCACCCACAAGGTCGCATATCTGACGGTCCTCAAGGTCATCAACCAACGTAATGAGCCCGAGGCACGGGAGATCGTGTTGAAGTCTTTGTTCTTCAGTCCCGGCGATGAGGTGTTGGAGAAGATCCTGAGTGATCACTCCTCCGGTGCGACCCTTATCTTCAAGGTCCTGACCACCCCCTTCTTTGACGAGTCAATGCGCGCTGAAGTCGTCAAGACTGTTTGCAAGGTCTTGACTAAGCTCAAGGTCACCCCGAGCCAGGGATACAAGCGGCTGATGGATGAGGTGGGTCTGTCCTCGCGGGGAGGCGCTCGCGACCACCATGGTCGAGAGCATACCCCTGGCGGCCACGGCCCGAATGCGGAGAAACAGCTACATCGTCCGAGCTCTCGCCAGGCCAACACGGCCTATTCCCCCCAACAGGGTACGGATAGACAGTATGCTGCCAGTGGTCCATTCCCCCCGAACGGGCTGGCGCAGAATCTCGACGGCCCTCGCCCGATGCCTTCGGAACCACAGGCTGCTCCTCCCTCTTCCTTTGATCCGTATGCGATGAACCCAATGAACGGGCTCGGTCAGCCTGCCGGCGGCGTGAGCGCCCTCGGCGGACTGGGTGCAGTCAATGGGGCCGCCGGGTTCAGCCAGGATCCGCTGCTTTCTCAGCAACAACTCCAGTATCAAGCCTTCATGGCCTCTCAGCCACGAGGTGTGTCGAGCGCGGTCTACCCTACCATGACCGGGGCGAACTTCGGCTATCCACCCACCGGGTCCGCCGCGTCCATGGATAGTTTACGCAACCTGCAGACCCATGCACCTCCTCCCCTTAGCACCGCCGCCAGCCAGATGAGCGCGGGCCCCATGCTGAACCAGCCTGGCTATGGGCCCCAGCAGCAATTCAGTCCCGTTCTCAACCCGGCCCAGATGTATCAATATCCTCCGCAGTTTTACCCAACAACGCAGGTGCCACAGGGGCAGCCCGCTGGAGGACGGCGAGGACGGGTGAGTCATTCCCAGCTGGGAGATCCGTTGCGATGAAGGGCGCAAACCATCGAAATGGACCATCGCTAATGTTCCTGTTCTTCTCGATGTTACAGCGTTGAACGTTCCACCCTATGATCCCTTTTTTCTTATAATTTATCCCATGACTTCGCTTTCTTTACATGTATAAACTTTTTTTTGCTCCAAAACCTTTCTGGATACAAAGAGGATAGCCTGGTTATGTGTGTGTGTGTGTGTGTGTGTGTGAAACGACCATCTTCCAACCTGGACCGACGCTGGATCGTCTTGGAAAAGGAACCGTGAAAACCGAAAAAAGTTTTTCTTTTTTTCTTCTCCTTCTCTTCTTCTTATCTTTTTTATATTAAGATTCTCTAAATTTGCTTCAACACATTCGTTGATCTATGTTTCCTCTAGGGGGAAGATCTATTTGTAGGGGCTGTCTCTTATCTAACTACGTGTTATCTGACAAGCTCTTGGCTGTTACTAGAAGGTCATATACAGCTACACTCTGGAGTTTCTACTCTTGATCTGAGCAGACGCCGTCATCTGTCCTGGTAGATTGGAAGATTTCCGTAGAATAATCACGTGATACTCTGAGTCCTTTAGGCCAGAACGTCCGTCGTCGACTGGTTTCTCTCACTCTCAGATTGGGGAAACGCAAGGACAGAATGGTGGAAAGCAGTGACATACAAAGGTGAACTCAACGTCAAGAGTGAAGCGAGGGATTGGTTTTGCGTGGAATCTTTATTTTCCCGAAACCCTACACTGGACATGAGTTATCAAACCGGAGGCGAAACAGCCATTCTCTTTCAAAACGAGGATCGGACAGTCTTCCTGCTTGATATCCCCCTTTCGATTGGTTTAGCTCAAGGCATCTCTGCAGAGAGACAGCTCGTCTCATGTCCGCCACTGCAGTCGCCTTATCCATCCACAGAGCCCAAGAAAGAAGCTGCCCGTCTCCGGGTTCTGGAGCGGATCCCCCAAAGCGAGCGGGCGTACCATCTGGACGTGATTGCTCCTCTGGTCCGAGGTGGACTGGAGACCATTCGAAACGGGTACGGAGTTGGGTCTCGAGACTGGTGCAGAGGCCGGTACGTTCGAGACGACAATGCTGCGACAACGGGTCAAGATCAGCACTGCATACTGAAGAAGGGGAAGAAGAAACGAGAGTGCCCGCACGACGATGCAGAGGAAGAGGGGCACCACGAAGCGTCTGCTACAGCTACAACTGGACCCCCGGTGATCCTCTCGTCGACGTGTGTGAATCGATTCGAATCATTACGAGAATTAGAAAACGTCCTGGTGCAAAATCCTGCCTGGGAGCCGGCAGTTCTCGAACTGCAAGGATCGCAGGAAACAACCATCCATGTGCCGCCAGGGTCAAGCTTCATGCTTTGCACGCTTCCCCTTTCACCATCACCTCGGCCGGACCCTGACCCTATCCTGCATCTATCTCCCGGCCGCAAGTTCGATCTTCTCCTCCTAGACCCGCCGTGGGCAAACCGTTCGGTCCGACGCAGTGGCCATTACGAAACGCAGTCCTACACCGATTTCGACTGTCTGGCGCGATACATGAGCGAGATTCTTCAAATGCATCTACGATCAGCTCCAGAGTCCCTGGCGGCCATCTGGGTGACGAACAGCGAGAAATCGCGCCGCGCCGCCTACGACGCGATGGAACGGGCAGGCCTCTCCATCTGCGAGGAATGGATATGGGTCAAGACCACCGTACGCGGGGGGCCGATCTCTGCGATCGACGGGCTATGGCGCAAACCATATGAGATTCTCGTCATCGGGCGGAAAATAACTTCCGGGATTGGTATCTCCTTTCCAGCAGTCTCGCGCAGAATCATCGCTGCTGTCCCCGATGTACATTCGCGCAAGCCGAATTTAAAACAGCTGTTTGAAACCCTGCTTCTGCCTTCCCACCAGTACTCGGCAATGGAGGTGTTTGCCAGGAACCTCACGGTAGGATGGCTGGCGTGTGGGAATGAAGCGGTCAAGTTCAATTGCAGCGAGTGGTGGAGAGGGTGATCGGGCACGTACAGAGCACAGAATCACTAGGCACGTAGTCGAATTGAAAACAATCCTGGTTCAATGATTTCTAATGAGCGATCTGGGCTGTACGTAATCTGGTAGATCGATAATCAATCCTCGCAGTGGAGGGAGCGGAATCTCCTCCGCAATTGCTGAGAAATGTATGTAGCATTTTTCTTATCGCCCCCAACTTATCTTCCTTTTTATCAGCCTCCATTCTCTTCAGCCGGTGCATCTTCGTCTTCAGAATAAAAAAAGGGGAGGAAAAAAGAGGAGATGGCGAGCTCAGAGGACACGGTCAGTAAGGACTGTTTCGACACCGACCAGGAGAAGGCCGCCGTGGTTAACGCCAGCTCCGATCTCTCCCCTCGCAGCGGCGGCCGTCCAGAATGCTTCAGCAACACGTTCCAGGAATGTCTGTTCGTCTTGACGGCGACGATGGCTATCGGCCAGACTTCCTTCTACCAGGGGACCATTGTCGGGATTACGGCGTCGATTGGGAGTGAGCTGGGCATGTCGGCGGCAGAGATCACCTGGATCAACGCTGGGGTTTCGTATGTTCTTTTAGTTTAATCAACTGTTTAAATTATGCTAACTTCTTCAGACTCAGCAGCGGTGCGTTCCTTTTGACGTTCGGGAAATTGGCCGATATGTTCGGCCGCAAGGCGCTGTTTATCTTCGCCATGGTCGGCTTCACCCTCGCCGTCTTGATCGCCGGGTTCGCCAATACCCCCATCTACATGGATGTGTTCTCGGGCATCGTCGGTCTGTTCGCTGCAGCCGCCGTCCCGCCTGCAGTGGGTGCTCTCGGGGCCGTGTACGAGAAGCCATCCAAGAGAAAGAATCGCGCCTTTGCGTGTTTCAGTGCCGGGAACCCGTTGGGATTCGTCGGCGGCATGATTGTCTCTGGTATTGCCTCCTCCCAGTATAACTGGCGGGCGTCGTTCTGGGCATTGGCCGTCTTGTACGCTCTCTTCACCATCATGACCCCCTGGACCATCCCGAAGGATACCTTCCAGCGAATGTCGGTGTCGAGGGAGTCTTTCAAGAGATTCGATCTGTTCGGAACCGCCCTGATCGTCGTCGGGTTCGCGTGTTTCTCTAGCTCGTTATCGTCAGTCTCTCTTTTTTTCTTTATCCCCGCTGCATCTTTCATCGCGCCTTTTCTAACTCCCAGTAGACTTGCAGGAGACGCGCCACATGGCTGGCAAACCAGCTACGTAATCGCTCTTATCGTCATCGGTGCCGTCTTGCTGGCATGCTTCCTGTACTGGCAATCGAAGGCAGCGTATCCGCTGATGCCATTGCATGTCTGGCGGGATCGGAACTTTTCAGTGGTAAGTCGGAAAGATTTTTTTTTCTCTTTCCCCTTTTCTTGCATATAAATCTCAGGATTACTGACAGTTCAGCTGATGGCTGTTTTCTGCCTCGGATTCATGGGCTTCTCATCAACTACCTTCTGGCTCTCGCTGTACCTGCAGGATGTCAAGGGTCTCTCTGCACTGGAAATCACCGCCCAACTGCTTCCCATGGTCATCGGCGGAGTGCTCGTCAACGTTATCTGCGCTCTTGTTTTGCACAAGATGAGCAACACGGTGCTTATGGGGATCGGAGCCCTCGCCTATGCGGCTGCCTTTCTTATTCTCAGCTTTCTCAAAGAAAGCGCTCCATACTGGGCATTTATCTTTCCTGCATTGGTTCTGGTTGTGGTCGGAGCAGACATCACATTCAACGTCACGAACGTGTGTCCCCCCCCCCTTCTTTTTCACTTGTCCTGTGCAAAGACTGACCCTTGCAGATGTATGTCATGTCCTCTCTTCCGCCCGAGGAGCAGTCCGTCGCCGGCGGCATCTTCAACACGGTCAACAAGCTCTGCAACAATCTCGGCCTGGGGATCGCAACGTCTATCTACTCGTCCATCAGCACGGAGCTCGGCGACGGATCCACTGCGGTCAGACCGTACCTGACCACCTTCTGGTTCGCCGCCGCAAGTGCCGGCTTGTCTGTGTTCCTGGTCCCCTTTCTTACCCTTGGGACCCAGGGCGGCCCTGCACCAGAGAAGGCGGAAGAGATCCAGGAACCATCGGCTGACGAGAAACCGGCCAGGACAGAAAGAGAGACAATAGTCTACCCTGAAGCAGAGATAATGGTCTAGACGCATAGATTAATAGTCTTAGATATACCTTCAAACCATGGACATAATATAATGTTTATAAGTCTTTATTTGGCTCAATCTTATATTATGAACCTACAGTCATACCGATAGGACTGGTAATGCAAGACATCTAATCAAACAACGGCCCCAGACTGATCAGACTGAATCTCAAGTCCGGATTCCCTGCCTGCGCCTCATTCTTGAGGAACCGCCGCACGCCCATGTCCAGCGCCCGGTCGCTCAAGGCATCTTCGCCCGGCAGCAGCGCCCCGCGGGCCAAAGGTCCCTTGCGCCGACCATCCAGCTCCCACAGGTTACCATCGGCAGCACACACAAACGCCACAAAGTGCAGGTCGACGTTATCCCCGGCGTCCGGGGCGGTGGTGTCCCCGCGCCTGGCCGCGTCGGCGTGCGCGCTCTCCAGGGCTTTACTCTCGTACAGCAAATCCGCGCGGGCAAGGGGTTCCAAGGGCTCCGCGTCGCGCAGCAGTGTCTCGAGATCCGAACCCGCAATAACCTGTTTGCGAGGCTCCCCGTTCGCCACGGCGTGCAGCAACCCAATCAGCCCGCATGCATTCCGGATTGTCTGCTTGAACCACATGACGGGCTCCGCGGGCCCGCTCCCCGTGTACTCTGTTAGCGGGGTGTCTTCGGTGATCCGCGACGATTCGTACGAGGGCGACACGGGGAACACGAGGAGGAGGGCGTGTGCGGGGCGAGGCACAAAGGCGAGCAGGTCCGGTTCGTCGATCGAGTACACGTCTGTGAAGCCGAGGGAGGGCGAGAGCCCGAGTTGGTGCACGAGGTGGGACATCACTTCGGGGTTGTTTTCTGAGATGGGTTATTAGCTGGACGGAAACGAAAAAGAGGCAACTGATGACCGGATTTTTCTAACCTAGAGGCACAAAGGCCTTGTTGGTAGCAGGAGCATCAGGGTTCGCTGCCATTGTTGTTGGTGGAATTTCGTCTCGAGAGCTCCTCGGGAGGGGCACGGAGGAGGGCCTGTCGAAGATTGCTTCGGAATACTGCAGACTGACTCGCTTGTGGTAGCTAGGAGGATACGTTTCACAGCCTCGTAGAGGGGGGTTATTTTGTATGGAGGGTTGGACAATGTTGAGGGGGGGATTGAAAACACTTCTGGACTCGGTAGGCAGCTTCATGACGTCTGTATGCGGGGCAAGCTTAGGCTGTGGTTGGGGATGGTATCTAGGTACAACAAATGAATATTTGACGCAGACACGTCAATTGATGCAGTGATGTAGCCTGTAATGACTGAAATGAAGTCTCTTCAATATAATAGTGTAGTGGAAGAAGTTGTAATAGCCTTTAGAATCTAGTTATATAACTTGCTGGTGGGCAGAAGAGATGAGCTAGCTCTAGGACTATATTTAAACTGATAGAAGCCATCCTTCAAATACCAACCAAAATTGGGTCTTGAAGAAAAAGAGATATATTAAAAAAGAGGTATAATCATGACCCATCAAGCGACCGGCTTGTTGCCTTGCTTTAATGGCGCGTAGATATTTGTCCATAGCTCGTTTGCCTCTCCGAGGTAATATGTCAGGCTGACATCTGCCATACCGCTTTCTTCGTCACCTTCTATTGTCTCCAGCTGTGAGATGATATTCTCGAGGCCAAAAGCCTTCCCGGTAGCTTGTGTTGAGCCTGCCTCCAACATGACATTGACGATATGAACGTGGAAGTGGTAGTAGGTAGGCTGGTCTAGATTATTATCAGCACTGTCGAGCTAGAAACAATATAATCCTGAAGATCATGACTGCTAATTCGTGACTTACAATGAACGTAGAGCTTGAGCTGATCCTGTTCAAGATCCGGGTACATTTTCACCGTCCCCTCGAGCAATCGTTGCCTCAGGTACTTCAACCACGGGATGTGCTTCTTTTTGAGATCCCGAAGGCTCCAGATATCCCTCCGCTCCACCAGGGCCAGTAGATGAAGTGAATTCATGGTCTTCCGGTCCCAGTTCAAGTCTGGAAGCATCAGGAAGCCATCTGCAGGCCCATGTCCTTTGTCCCTGAGTATCACGTCTTCCTGTTCTGTTCTACCCTCGAGGATATTAAACACCCAGTTCAGTCTCCCCTCTTCACGCTTGGCATTCATGTATGGCCTGATATGGTCACGATATATTTCTGGGGTTTCCGTTACCATGCGGAGAATCTGAGAGGAGTATTTCTTGATATGCTGTTCCGTGCATGGCCAGATGAGATTTATTTTCACGTCGTGCGCGGGAGATTTCTCGTCTCCTGGGTGTGTAGATGCGAGATACCAGCGATAGATGTCGTTGTCGCCCAGGTTTTGGACGTGCATGATTCTTGTCTGGAACGCTTCGATCTGCTCGCGGGTTTCGGCGACGAATGCTGTTCGCTCCAAGATCAAGACACCTTGCTCTCCGTCTATTTTCCCATGAACAGCTATCCGTCGGCCGTTTTGGTCTGTTCCCCAGTGTCGCCAGAATCAGTCTTAATAGCCCGGCGTAGTTGGTGAGTTATACTGACCTTGGCTTAGCAACTGGCCAACTTCAAATCTCCCAACCAACTCCTCCGTCAGAGCTTTCTGCTCGTTATCTCCCGCCCTCATTTTCTCTCTTTCTCAAAGACTCGCACGACAGTTTGACAGACTAAACCAAGAAAACCACAATGGAGGGGTCAAGTTTCCTTTTTTTTTTTACCCCGGATTCGTGCCACTTCCCGGCAGAATCGAGGGGCGGTCAGGGCCTTATCTACATGGCCGGCGCAAAATCTTTTGCTATCAAGAGGAGATTATGAAGAGAAAAAAAAAAGTCGACCTCGTTCATAACAGCCAAGCATTGCTCTCGATACTGGAATTATTTTCTCATTTATATTTATCGTCTCTGAACTGCCGAAATGTCTGCCATTGGATCCTTGATTTTCTGCACTGATTGCGGGAATCTACTTGATGAATCGACTGGCGACGCGACTGCCATTCTTCTCTGCAATGTATGCGGAGCGAGAAACAAAGGTACAGACAATCCACGAACCCCCTTCAAAGAAAGCCACTGACCTCTGTACCTAGATGCTCTTCCCAAGACCATCGTCTCCCAGTCCAAGCCGAGTGATTTCCCGTCGATACTCAGAGCGAAGAGATCCGCCGTCCAGACCTTGACTGCTGCAGACAAGAAGACAGAAGCCCTCGGCCAACACACTTGTGCGAAATGCGGGAGGAAGGAGATGTACTTCACGACTGTACAATTGCGTAGTGCGGACGAAGGCAGCACAGTCTTTTATACATGTGTTTGCGGCTATAAGTATGAAACCCTGCTCTCCTATACACAGCGCAAAATATACTAATAGTCTGTTGCAGGGAAACGGTCCAGAACTGAGTGATTAGCAAGTCGGAGAGAAGAAGAAAAAAAAATAGAAAAACAAAACTGATAATCATGCTCTGCTTACTAGAAGCAGACAGACTTAATGCCAGCGACGTCATAAACTTACATAGGAAGCATCCTCATTTTTCTCACATTCATGTCGATTTTTGCTTGGAGTTAGCATCAGAGGATGGGCTTGAATGCATCTGTTTTGATCATGTCAATCGAGGCCAATTTGAAGGGTTTTTTTAGTTATTGCAAATCAAATGGGACCTTACGACTTCTGCAAACTTCAACCACTCTTCCACCCCTTTCACAAACGAATCATCCGTAGCAGGGATCGCTTCGTGATCCCAAACGAGCAGTTCATCGAACGTGGCCTGCTGTTCAAGGATTTTGACGGGCTCCTCGGGTTCGACATCCAGATCCTCAATGCTATGGTTATTTTGCTTCACCGGAAGGGTTTTATCGGTTGTGATAGCGACAACGCCTGCAGACCAAGGAGACAACCATTATTAGTCTGCTTAGAATACAGTTACAGCTCGTAATATGCATTGCATACCTTGGTATCCCTCTGGAATCGCAACACGCCGCCCTCGAAGTTTACGCCCGCGGAAATACGCAATCTGGAGGCCTAGAATGAGCAAAAAAAGTGTTAGAGATATCAATTCCCGTTCATGTCTGAATCTGAAAAACTGGCTAGACCTACCCTTCTCGTCTGTCACAGGAGTCCAATACCGGCTGATATTGTCGACGGGGCCATCATGGTGAATGCGACACGGCAGTATGTTGGGCGTACAGCAATTTGGTGATAATTCCTCTGTCGTAGAAGATGCTTCTTTCTGCGCTGGTTGAATAGCAAACATGATTGTTAGGGATCGAGTAATATGATTGCGAATTCAAAACGGGCCTGAACACTGCTAGTAACTCAATTGACGGGCAGAATTACGAGTAGCAGGAAAGAGAACTCCAGAAACCGTGTTAGCCGGAGGTATCAAAGGCCTTGGTTTGATACTCAAGATGTGCTCATTATTAAGAAGTCTCGGACGCGACGCGTTGGCGTGAGGTGCTTAAAGAGTCGCTTATCGCTGTTATCGTGAAAAATATTGATATGGCTCATGGAGTAGCTGGTTATCAGTTAGAATATTTGGATTCTCTATGCTATAAAATAATAGTAGAACAAAATATTTTACATGGTAAACAGTACCGAGATGTCCTTCTGGTCCATGATTATACTCTTATGTACAATTTTCTTTTGCATTCTCGGAGCAAATCTTCATTGCAGCTTCGGGGTATAAGTAATGACAGATATAAAATCGGAGAGATCACCTCTTCCGAGTCTTCTTCTTCTTCTTCTTCTTTTTCTTTTGTTCATCTCCGTTTTCCTTTGTGTCGACAATCACTCTCACAGGCCATTTCTTCGCATGCTCTCGCTCAAACGCATCTTTATCCCGTCTGTAAAGAAGCATGGTGGCTCGAGCATCTTCCACGCTTGAATGCGCCCCTTCCTGAATGGTCAAGCCCAGAAACTCCGAGGCTAGGATTTTCAATCGTGGGGAACCGCCTCCTGCAACCTTTCGGTAGGGTGGATGCTTGCTTGTATCTCTGATGTCGCGTTTTGGATGGCTGAACAGAAGAGCATCCAGGTCATTTCTCAATGCATGCCCCACCAGGACTCGACCGTCGAGGATTTCAGCAACATCTTTCTGGACCTGTTCGAGTGACCGAGCGTTCACCATGTGTTTGGGGCTGATCCCGCTGACGTGTGTCCGCCAATCCGTGACCATCTCTTTCGGTCGTACGTACGAATCGTATACCTGTTCACCATTGTAGTTGACAATACTGACGCGCGCAAGAGCTGAGTCGTTATCGGGGTTGGGGCCTACGCCCACCATTTCGCAGTCCATCGCAACGTATCTGCCTAGTTCAACACTGTTGAAAAGTCAGTGTCGGCTGGTAGGAAACGAAAACGATCCTATAACATAGTCTCTCACTTTTTAGAGCGCCCTTCATTGACTTTTCCGATTAATGTGTCCTTCTGGTGGACAGAGACTGTAGAATTCCTGCGCGACGTCGTTCTCGATGCAGTACCCGTCTCGGTTCCATCTCCTGTTTTCTCAGACATTTTTCCTTTTCTTGTGGATAATATGCGGCGCCCCGACTGATTTCCCTCTGAACGGTCTGTCTTTCTTCTCTTCACTCCATTGTCGGCTTCGCGCTCGGAAACCTTGCGTTTGGTGGCTGTGGACTCGGAGGGTTTTGTCTTCTTAAGCGTCTGCTGGAGCTTCTTCCAATTGCTGGAGAGGCCTTTGATATCCATAGCAATTAGGATAGGATTTTACAGTTTCATGATGCAGTATTGCGGTGATATTTGGCAGGCTCAGAAGAAAGTTGAGGTTGTTAGCAGTTAGTTACTGGATCCTACTCCGCTGGAAAATTTAGAGACATCCGGGCCCACTTTGTTCTGGCCGATAGTCAAAGATGAGAGAACTACAACACCACCAAGGAGTATAAGAAAGGGGTATTTCGACTCTCGTAGGTGTAATATTGATGTATTAAATCTATAATTTAATAGCTGTATATAAAATCTGCTGATTTCTTCTCATAGAAATATCCCAAGGATCTTCATTCATCTGGGTATGAACTTTTTGTTGTATAAACAGTCAAAAGAGATAAGACAAAGTATATGCAATCCCATTTATACAAACGCCAACTAGGAAAACCAATCCATCGAGTTCACAATGCTTCACATGCCAGGGATCTGAAAGTCCTTGTGGGTCCACTTCTCTGTAGCCTTCCTCTTTGCCTTCTTCGCCTGCGTTATAGGCTTACGAGATTCGAGTTTGCCTTGAACAATCAAGGTTCTGAATCGGTCATCAAGCAGATTACCCTCTGGTTTGAGTAAACGAAGAGAATCTTGCAGTTCTTCCGGTAGCACCAGCTCCAGAGGCTTGGAAGGAGCCCTATTTCTAGTTAGCAAACCCACGCAGGTCGACATAGCGAGCATCGATACATACGCTAATTTGCCTCCAAAGGGACGTCGACGCAGGTCAGTGTCATCCCCTTCCTCCGAATCGTCGGCATCAGAGTCTTGAGCAGGCTCCTCTTCTTTCTGTTTGATACGTTCGGCGATGGCTTTCGCTTGTTCCACTTGCTGCTCCTTCTTGTCCATCTGGGCGTCCCACTTGGCCTTTCTTTCTGCCTCCTTCCGTCTCTTGATCTTGTTTCTCTGAGCCTTTGTCTTTCTCTCCGGCCGTTTCTTGTTCAACCACTCGGGCTTCTCGTACTCGCTTTCGAACCCTTCCCAAGCGCTTTCATCGTCCGACTTTGCCTCGTCATCGTCGTTTTGAGCTTCAGCAATCAATCGTTGTCTCTCTTGCTCCTTGCGCTCCTCTTCAAGACGCTGCTTTTCGGCTTCGAGTTCTTTTTTGCCCTCTTCGTTGAGAAGACGGTCCCAATCTTCGAACGAGGGGTTATAACTCGTCCCAGCGGTCGGTTTCTTGACGGAAGGTATCGGCTTTCCGTTGGCCGCGAGCGAGACTGGTGCTTCCTTCAATGTAACTGGGGCAACAAACGGTTTCGGTTTCTCCAAAAAGTCGAACCGCGGATCCTCCATGGGCGCCGACTCCTCGTCGTTTGCCCATGGGTCATACAATTCATTGCCCGCCGTTTTCATAATAGGGTTTGCCTCTTTCGCAACCTGCTTCAAACGAAGCCATTCCTTGCGGCTAACCCAGTCACTCTTCTGTCTCTTGGACTTCGGCTCAATCACTCCATCAGTAACTTTGGAGTTCAAGCGCTTCCTTGTATCAACGCCCGGAATCGCGGACCTTGCCGCTAGAATCTCGTCCGCCTTCAGAGGCTTGTGGTTTTTCTTAACGTAGGCGCGGATTTCGGCAGAACCAGTGGTATCAATGGTGAACAGTTCTTCGGAAGGCTTCTCTGATAACAGACCACTGTTACCCACAGTATAGAAATTAGTAAACTGTAACGTGACAATATCATCGGCCTTCCAAACCCTCACCCTTTGATTTCTTCATCTTTCAGAACTCGGAGGCCCTCCTGCACCTCCGTGACATCGACATTTTTGCGCCAGGCCTTCTTGCCCTTACGGGAAGGCTGCTTGAACTGTTGGGGGGCTTCCACAGATGGCGACATCCTGAAAGAACGAAAAGACGATTCCTCAAAGCCCCGAGTGGCTATTCTGATAAGAACGATTCTTTCCTGCGCGGGAAATTCCAAAATTCTGGATCCATTTTCTCGGCCCCGCGCTAGTGCGCTTGTCGCGCTAGTTCTGGCGCGGCTATCGCACCGCTTTCCCGTCCAAGACTTCGCAATCCTTCATGGGCAACTTCAGGAGACTGCCACTTTTGACGACAGCTTTTGCGCTCCTGGCAGCTCGTTGTTTGCTTCGCTGAGAGCTGAAATATTACCATCGGTGCTGTATCTCATTTTTACACGTTCTTCTCTCGGCGGCTTCCCGCCGAAATATAGCACACGCCATGCCAGTCGTCAAAGGAGGTGTTTGGACCAACATCGAGGATGAGGTTCTCCGTGCAGCTGTCTCCAAATATGGCCTCAACCAGTGGGCTCGAGTATCATCGCTTCTTGCAAGGAAAACCCCGAAGCAATGCAAAGCTCGCTGGGTCGAATGGCTAGATCCCGGTATCCGCAAAGTGGAATGGTCTCGTGAGGAAGATGAAAAGCTTCTACACCTGGCGAAGTTGATGCCCACACAGTGGCGTACTATCGCGCCTATTGTGGGCCGAACAGCAACGCAGTGCTTAGAGCGCTACCAGAAGCTTCTTGACGAAGCCGAAGCTCGCGAGAATGATGAGCTCGGGCTGGGTGGACCCGGAGCTGAATCGGCCGCTCCCAGCGCCGATGACGTTAGAAGGTTACGGTAAGCTTTAATCATTATTTCAGTGTATATATATATATATATATACTCGCTGTGCTGATACTGACATGATGAAGACCCGGCGAATTAGATCCCGATCCAGAGTCCAAGCCTGCGCGACCCGATACGATTGACCTTGATGAAGATGAGAAGGAGATGCTCAGCGAAGCTCGTGCTCGCCTGGCGAATACCCAGGGAAAGAAAGCTAAGAGGAAGGCTAGAGAACGTCAGCTGGAGGAGTCGCGCAGATTAGCAGTACTCCAAAAGCGCCGTGAGCTGAAGAACGCGGGTATCAACATCAAAGTCGCCACCCATAAGAAAGGTGAAATGGACTACAATGCAGACATCCCCTTCGAGAAACCAGCCGCGCCGGGATTTTATGATACGGCAGAGGAACAATCTAGGAACGAGCGGCAGCGCGAGATGTTCGACCCTCGGAAGCAACAGCTAGCGAACAAGCGCAAAGGCGACCAAGAAGAAGATGCCGAACGCAAGAAGCGGAAAAATGATAAAAATAGCAACTCTGCAGCGTTTGCTGCTGCAGCGAGAGCTGGGCAGATGCAGAAGATCCGTGAGGCAGAGCAAAGCATCAAGCGAAGAGGTCTAGTTTTGCCTGCTCCTCAGGTCAGTGAGAGCGAATTAGAAGATATTATCAAGATGGGGATGGCTGGCGACAGAGCAAGCAAGATGGCCGGCGACGAAGAGACGACCAGAGGGCTTCTGGGTAATTACTCTGCGATCGTTGGTGGTACTCCAATCAGGACGCCTCGCGCACCTCCTGAAGAAGATCATATTGCCAATGAAATCCGGAATATCAGAGCTCTCACGGAAACACAATCGTCTCTTCTTGGCGGAGAGAATACGCCTCTCCACGAAGGAGGGTCATCGACGGGCTTTGACGGCATCGCACCTCGGCGACAGGAAATCGTCACGCCCAATCCTATGGCTACTCCATTCCGACAGGCCAATGGAGTAGGCGCCACACCTATGCGCGGAGGGGTTGGCCCCGGAGCTACCCCGTTGCGAACACCCAGAGATCACTTTGCACTGAATCGTGAGGGTGAAGGCGGACAGCTTATCAGCAGTACACCACGAGACATTCGGAACCATGAGAACTTCATGCGCCAGCAGATCAGGAGCAAGTTGGCAGCTCTTCCGAAGCCCAAAGAGACCGAATGGGAGCTGGAAGAGCTTCCCTCGGAAACCGCAGAACCATCTGTAGCAAAGGAGTTTCTAGACGAAGACTCTGCAGTGCGTGACCAAAGGGAAAGAGAGGCTCGTGAAAAAGCCGAGCAGGCCGAACGCAAACGTCAAACACAAGTCTACCAGAGATCTTTGCCTCGCCCCAGTATTCTAGATATCAGCGCGTTGATGCACCGAGCCTCGCAAATTACAGACCCCATCCGCAGTATGGTAGCCAGAGAAGCTGCGATCCTCATTGCTAATGACGCTCGGAAATTCCCTGTACCAGGCTCCAAGATTGAAGGGAAAGCCCCCAAATTGGAAGTGCTGGACGATGCGTTAGTCGAAGCGGCACGCGCAACTGTCGCGGCAGAGATCGCTTCCTCGCAACAGGCGCAGGAAGAGTGGCAAATCACTTTCGAGGATTCCTGGACATCGACACACTCTACATCTCTACCGGGCCTCTCAAACTACGCAGATGAAGACGAGGATGTTTTCCAGCAGGAGCAGCGCATGATCAACTCCTTCGACAACGTACAGGCTTCGCTGGTCGCCACAGCAGAACGGGGCAACAAAATGGAAAAGAAACTCGCTCTGCATTATGGAGGGTATCAAAATCGTGCGAAGGTGCTGCGCTCCAAGATCGTGGAGGCAAGCACTGCTCTCGAGAAGGCCCAGGATGACCTTGAATCTTTCCGGACCCTGCAGATTTCCGAGGAGTCTGCTTTGTCTGGTAGACTGGAGAAATTGCGGGATGAAGTCGCGTTTGTCATGAGAAGAGAACGGGAGGCTCAAGAGATCTACAAAACTCGACAAGACGAGCTCGACGGGCTAATCGCAGGGACGGGGACCGCGGTAAATGGCTGGCACTGAACCCTTTGTTCATTCAATTAGGATTCCTTGTTTCATAAGTCTATGTACAACACGCTGTCGGAGACCTTTTTCTATATCGAGGCTGTAAAGTAGGTATTCCTCAACAAGACTCTAATCCACCGAGATTTAATTCGGACATGAAGTATTTCCTTGTAGACCGGTTTTCTAGAGCAGTCTCTCTTGCTCTCCAACTATAGTTATAGTCTGTTCTACCTACCAGCCATACTGGCCGGGTGCGGTGGATGGCAAAAATGCGGATGACCCAGAAAAAGACCATCCGTTCTTTTCCAAGGCGGTCTCCTCCCGAGTCCATTTCAGCCAGACATCACCACCCGCAGACTCAAGACGATCCCATCTCCGATCTGTTGGATTCTTCCATCCCCACGGACTATTTCCATCGCGAGAAAACAGCGAGCTCGACTGGAAATCGGCGATCGCTCGCGATGGGGGGCAGAGATGAGACCGCAGGCACCCCAGACCCGGTCGAGAAGGGGTTCGCCACCCTGAGCACTTTGAGGTGAGTGCGAACCCGACGTGAATTAATTCTATATTTCCCTGCAGGCTGTCTTCTGGCCTATGGTTTGTCGGTCGCATCCACTAACATTGACGATAGGGTCGGTGTGAAGGCTATGATCCAGAAGGTCGGTGGTTTTTCCCTGGTGGTTGTAGCGAGCCTTGACGGCCGGTCACGTGATGGGTATCAGGCAAAGAGTGGAGGTTGAGACTGACTGTATTGTAGGATGGAGAGCTACGAAAGGCAGAGATCCTGTCTATCCGGCAGCGGAAGGATGGCCCTACTTTCTAGTAAGTTTGGTTCTACTTGCTTGGTGGTTCTCCACGGTATTTGTTTGACCATTGATTCTAGTGTTCATTATGTGGACTTCAACAAGCGTCTCGACGGTAAGCTGAAGTTCAGTCTTAGTGTTGCCATGCAAGGATACTAATACCAGTCCTCTAGAATGGGTTGCTGCAGCAAGGGTCGATCTGTCTCTGGAAGTCGAGTGGCCTCAGCCAGAGAAACCAGAGAAGAAGAAGACCGGCGCCGCCAATAAGGCACCAAGTAAGAACACTCAGAAGCGGGCGCGAGCTGGCAGTCGCGATGTCTCTGCAACGCCAGATCTCCTCACTGGCAAAAACGTCAACGTGGGCAAAGTGCAGCGGCCTTCCAAGGCTGGTGGGAAGGAAAATCGCGATGGTACACCCGTGACCGTTTCTCATCTGGGTTCTGAGGCAGCATCTGCGCCCGACTCTGAGGATGTCGACATGGTTGATGCCAGCTTCGACACCAAAGCTGCCAAGGATGAGGAACAGGTCATGGAGATGTCCCGCGAAGAAGAGATCGAGAGACTCCGGACGAGTGGCAGTATGACACAGAACCCTACCGAGATCCACCGCGTTCGCAACTTGAATCGTTTGCAAATGGGCAAGCATGAGATCGAGCCCTGGTACTTTTCGCCATATCCTGCCTCTTTTACAGACGTGGACATGATCTACATCGACGAGTTTTGTCTGAGTTACTTTGACAACAAGCGTGCCTTCGAACGACATCGATCCAAGTGCACCCTCGTCCACCCGCCGGGTAACGAGATTTACCGGGACGACTACATCTCCTTTTTTGAAGTGGATGGCCGACGCCAGCGGACCTGGTGCCGGAATCTCTGTCTTCTCAGCAAACTGTTCCTCGACCATAAGACACTCTACTACGACGTCGATCCCTTCCTGTTCTACTGTATGACCACCAGAGACGAGACCGGGTGTCACCTTGTCGGCTATTTCTCCAAAGAAAAGGATTCGGCAGAAGGATATAACCTGGCTTGTATCCTCACGCTTCCTCAATATCAAAGACGGGGCTTCGGTCGTCTCCTCATGTCCTTCAGCTACGAACTGAGCAAGCGAGAGGGCAAGTTAGGGTCGCCCGAAAAGCCGCTCAGTGATCTCGGTCTACTGAGTTACCGTCAATTCTGGCGTGAAACTCTCGTCGAGTTACTGATAGAACCAGGCCGGGAGGCCATCAGCGAGAACGAGCTGGCATTATTGACCTCCATGACCGAAAAGGACGTTCATGAGACGCTGGTCGTTCTGAATTTGCTCCGATATCACGTGAGTCTCTCCTTCTCCTTCCCCCGGGGAGGTGGATAAACATCGTCACTAACAGGACTGCGCGCCACAGAAGGGAAACTGGGTCATTGTTTTAACAGATCAGGTGGTGGACGAGCACAATAAGCGCGTCGAGAAGGAAAGGGCCAAGGGGTTCCATAAGATAGATCCCGCACGTCTGCAGTGGAAACCCCCTGTGTTTACTGCGTCCAGCCGGACGTGGAACTGGTGATCGATCAGATTTCTCTTCAGTATTATCCCGTCTTCCCTTTTTTGCACCATTTCTTATACAATGGGGGGGGGGGCGTTCATTCGGGTGGAGTTGAGTTCATTGCCATGGTTGGATTTAGCGTGGTTTGAGGCCGGTGTAAAGTAACTATTGTACTCTTGATCTTGATATTCTAGATTTATTTAAATCCTTACATGACTGTAATACTCCTTCAAGGGAATGCTTAAGTGGTTCATTATTGCTTATTATACAATGTTGGTGGTGTACAAATTGACCACTGTTGTTTGTTTCTATAGCATGAGGAATATATAAAAATTTCAACGATGCTGCCATCAAAAAGCCGTGCATTTTTCACAACACTATGCAATATGTACTCTAGTCCCAGGTTTCAAGATCTCCCCCATCTACCTACTCCTCCCTATTTACGAAGACACACAAAAGGAGATAAAACACCGCAGGTTTGGCTATTATTCGATCATCCTGGCCCCCAGAATGAAGAACCGTTCGAGCCGCACAAACCAGAAAGCGAGACATTACCTTGATCAATGGTGGATTTTGATTGATTTGACCAGTCCTAGAACCCATTTGGATTGAATAGATAGCCGGAAGGATAGTTAGACTAATAAGTAATGCAGGTGGCGGACTCTTGGCTCAAGAGTGCTAGGAATAAATGGGTTGTACGTAGCACAGAAATGGGAGAAAAGATAATGGTCAAAGGATATATTCATCCATACAAAGTTACAAGAGGGATGATTTAAGTAGGTAGGTAGTTAAGCCACAGAGTGGTGCATATCTTGCCCAACCAATCCAAGGTGAAGAAGGGTACTCTCTCAAAGTGAGTAAAAGTAACCGGAAAGGCAGAAAATCGAGAATGTTTGATGAAAAGGATAAAAGAGGAAATCAAATGAGAACGGTATTAGGAGAAGCACTGAACGAGAAACGGGAAAGCCTCATTGAAAAGAGCTCTCCCATCTCCACAACCATGGTTTATCAACACATCAAGGCAACGCTTAATAGATTCCTGTGTAATCCCACAGCAACCAGCCCCGTAAGCTGAGCCCATCCCAGCAATGGAAAAAAGAAAGAATTGCTCAGGACCACGAAGGTAAATAAATCATTCATGCACTTTAATGAGGTCCACTGTATGTTCGTGGGCCCCATGATGCGTTTCGTGACTGATGCCGAGGAGAAGAGCCGTTTCCATTCGTCTGTTGCGAAGAGGCCGGCTTCTTCGGGTTGGAGTTGAGGCTTCCAGACCCTTCGCGGGGTTTAACGGGACCTTTGCGAGCTTTGAAAGTGGAAGACCCTCGTGATCGTGGTGGTGGAGGTCCACCGGCTTTCTTTGGCAAACTGATGATTTTCGCCGCATTTGCACCGGGCAGGCGGATGGATACTCGGATATTTCCAGTCTGATCCTTGTCCAGGGAGCCGATTGAGAAAGGTTCAACACTGTGGACTTGCATGGGTCTCAAGTTCTTTGACCGCAAACGAGACTGTGGAGGCGGAAGAGCTGCTTGCCATGCATTCGCGGGAGCTCTGTGAGGGACATGAACGACAGGTAGAGATCCTGCCTCACGGTCTTCGAAAATTTCTTCTTCTTCCTCTACCCGCCTAGAGGTGACCTCAAGGTCTTCCGGGCCAAGGCCATCGTCCACGTGCAAGGGAAGAGATACAGAGACAGCAGCAATGTGTAGCTGGACGTCGAGAGGTTCTTTCGATGCAGATGCGACAGCCAGGGAGCTCTTTTTCTCAGGCACAGTCTTTTTTCCGAAAAGTCCATTGATCTTCTCTTGCCAGGAAGCAGCTGTCGATACGGGTTGGGGAGCTGCACGAGGCGGCGCTGCTACCATGGAGGCGAACGTGGGTGGGGGGGGAGGCGGAGAAGTAGCTTTGGGAGGAAGTTTGACGATGGGCTTGGGTGCGGGAAGATGAACGAGGGGTTTGTGTGAATCGCCTGTGAAGACCGGATGGCTCGAAACCTCTTCTGGAGGAGGGGGAGAGGGGCTTCGCATATAGCCCTCCTCTTCCGGGGACGGTCTCTTCGAAGGCTCGGCAGTGTGAGGGAAGAAGCGCGAACCTCGAATACCAAACGGCCGTGAGTGACTATCTGGGAAAGGCAGACCATCAACAGGATGATCGAACACTGGAAGGGAATTGGACGCAGGTGCATTGTTTTCACTCATGGTGATTCCGATGACCTGGCGTTGTCCGGGTTGGTCTCCAGTCCTAACCTGGCGCCAGGTCTCATTGAATGTGACCTGCAGCGAGGCTGGGCCCTCGCGAAGGGCCATTTCCTGACGAAGTTTCTCAGCTTCCTCAGCTTCCCTCTTAGCCGCAACAACATGGAAATTGTTCCAGGCAGCTGTTTCGCCAGCACCACGAGGCGGTTGCCATTGAGAGTGTGAACTGGGGGGTCCAATCGGGCCAGGGCGACCGATCGGGTTGATGGGTTCGTACGCTGCGTGCCGAACCTCTGGTGAAGGTAAAGGAGAAATCGAAGAGCTGTCTGGCTGGCTTCGTTGTGGGCCGTTGAACCTGTCGGCTCCTGCAAGAGCTGGTTGATCCAAGCTCAGGTGACCACGAAGAGGCAAATCGCGCCCTTGGAAGCCCCCCAGACCTTGTTCAAAAATGCCATTGCCTAACGTCTTGTCGCTGCTCAGCGGTTTCCAAGGATTTGCCACCGAGGATGCGCCTCCAAGCTTGGAGTTTGAGGTCCAAGGGGAATAGGTGTTTGTCACATTGAGTTTGCTTCTCCAATGAGGACCCTTCTCCTCGAATTTCGCTTCAGGGGACTTTTCCAAGACAGCAGTTTGGGTCTCGCCAGGTCGCCGGATTCCATTCTGGGAAATTGACTCGGCGTTGGATTCATTGGCAGGCGAAGATACCCGTCGAGGAGGCGGTACTTGAGCAGGTTTATCGGTAGTGCGTTCATTGGCAGCCACAAGCTTCTTCACGGCGTCCGGATGATGAACCTTCATCATGCCATATTGTTTTGGCTCGCCGGTGGGTTCAGGGACAGGAGGTTTTGGAGGGGAGGGTGAGACAACTGTAGTTGACGTCGTTTGAGTCGGCTCTGACTTGTTGGCATCTGTAACTTCCTTGGCTTTTGGTTTGGCTTTCTCCGGAGGTGGACCTAGAGCCTCGAGCTTCAAACGGATCCGTTCCCGTTTGGCGGCTTCCTCCTTCTCCTCCTGGTCTAGCCGGCGTTGACGAGCTTCCATCCTTTTTTCCTTCATAATCCGTTCTTGCAAGACAACCGGGTCCTCTTCCGGAGTGTGAGGCGCAGGGACTGCCTCTTCTGAGGCTGTAGAAGTTGTGAGTTGTCGTGTCATATTGTTGGCGTCAACGGAAGGGTGTGTCGGCCAGGGACCGTCAGGGCCATGTCTGGAAGGCGAGGCATTCCTCAAAGGCGCATCTCTGGCATGCATTGGCTCTTGAACAGCAGAGGGTTCGATTGACCCGTTGACTTGAGAGCCTCTCCTCATCTCAAGAGACCTGGGAGGTAAATCGGATCGGCCTAGTGACATACGACGACCATATGTCCCGCTCCCTCCGCTCACGTTGGACAGAGTACGGCGACGGTTCCAATGCTGTCCATCTTGGGCACTGGTTCGATGAGTTTGAAAGGCCGGGGAAGGCTCAGGTCCACTTTGTTCGCCATGCGGCCTTTGCAATACAGCAGGTGGACGAACGCCATGTTCGTTTCGCCAGCCTCCCCTTCTGGTCTCGGGAACGGGTTCGTACCTACCCGACCTAGAGTTATAGAGCTCCCGCGGCCCACCGGGTTGACTATCTCGCCAGTTGCGATTGAAGTCATCGGCCGCGATCTCTTTAGGGGGCATTGGACCACCGTAATTGTCGTGTGGGTGTGGCTCATTGAACGGAATCCGGGGAGAAATATGAGTCTGGGCCGCTGGGAGGACGGGGGAGATTCTTTCCACAGGAGGCAAAGGTGCCCACGGGGACTTGGAAGGGACGGGAGCAGGGCTCGTAGATGTTGATGGCAGTTTATCACCGGCTCCTTTACCCAGGATGGTGGCACTTTTTGCTTGTCGCTCAGCATTTGCCCCAAGCCTCAGGACCGTAGGATTTGGTCCTATTGATGTGACAGACTTAGGAGCAGCCTTCGCAGCTTCTGGAATCGAGGCAAGCTCAGGTGACGGCGGTACGCTATTTGATTCTTGGGCCGTTTTATCATCCTGAGCGGGAACAGACGTATCCGTATGTGTGAGAGTGACTTTCGTTCCGTCAGTCCATTCTATGGTTTCGGGAGCCCAGTCATCCTCGTCGTCATCAATATCTGCCCACTTGGCCTCTGTACCGCCACCGTCTTCTTGAATACGAGATGTCATGTGAATTCCGTACTGCTGCTTCAACTCTTCGTCGGTCAGGTGCTTAGGGGGAGTCGGTTGAACCGCTAGAAAAAAGGCAAAAAGAAAATGTTAGTCAACATGTATGCTCTGAGAAGACAAGTTCTAACGTACGTCGGTTCTTATTCCAGACCTGGTTAGGGTCAGGACCACCTCCGCCGGACTTGATACCACCTGGACCAGCCTTGGAGAGGGCATCACGGAGGCTGCTCGTTGTCTTTGCAACCAAGCGAGGTCGCGAGGTGGGTGGAAGTGTCCCTAGAGAGGTCGTGGCGGACATGGGTGCTACTTCGATTAGAGATCTTCCATTTCCATGTTGCAGTAAAAAACCCCACGCACCTTTGTCAGGCAATTTTGACGGAGCGGAGGCGCCTGGAGCCTTGGGAACGGAGAATCTAGCGAACGAGACTGGTTTGAATGTCGCCAATCTCTTCGCAGACCCTGCACGTCCATGGCTTTTGCCGTCGGTTCGACTGGCGTCCGATTCGGAGCCACCTTGCGACGCCGTATCCTCTCCACCATCTGATAATGAAGAAACCCCATTTAATTCCAACGCTCGACTCGCAACCGCTCCCGGACCAGATTTGACATCCTATTTTTTTCGTCTGACTTAGCACTTGCGAGGCAGATATTCCGAGTCCGATCTTGACTCACCGTCGGCGGCATAGAACTATCCATTCGCTCTTCTCTCCCAGTATGAACTGTCTCCGCAGTAATCGCTTTCTCGTCCTCGTCAGTATGTTGGGTTTTTGCTTGTGTTTCGGTCTGCGCTGTTGTAACGGTATCGTTGATCTTCCCCACGTCCCCTCCAGCAGAAGGCTTATCCTTGGTGCTCGCAGGAACGTCGGAGGGCGAAGGGTCGCCGCCCGACAGGGTTTGATTTACCACATCGTGGCTGCTCTGCTCTGCCATAACAATACTCGAGCCTGTTGGGTCGTCGGGTTGCGACATTTGTTAGACATCTGTTCTGAAAAGTGGCAGAGCGCAGGGTGCAGCAATAAAAGACGGCAGGCAGATAGATAGATGTGCAGACACAAGTAAACTGAGAAATACCTATTATCAGGTATCAAAGATCGCCACGGTTGTTAAACTGCTGCGGTAGCCCGACTGAGTGAGCCTGGTATGAAAGGTGTGGCAGCGGACTCAAGCGGACGCACGGTCGCGAGTGTCTGTAGAAGCTATGGTCGAGAGAGCTGCTTAAGCAGATAGAATATCAGCAGTATCAGATAGCTAGGCCTGCTGCCCAGATAACCCGTGGGGGGGGGGGGAGGAATAAGATGAAGAGGGTGTCGGAAGGGTAATAATGGAAGTAGCACAGTGCCTGTACGTAAATGGGGTGATGGTTCACGTAGGTTCAGCCAAAGGTGAGGCGGCTGTTTTAGGCTTAGCGTACAACGAAAATCGAATGCTGAAGCCAAAACCCTGTGGCTGGAAGTTGAGAAGGATAAAAATAAGGAATCTATCTGTAAGGAAAATCAATAGTGTAGATATCAAGGTTCTATAACTCGCTTTCTCTACTGCTTCTTATATCCTCCTAGAGACTGAAATTTTGTTTGTGTCTGAATGTTGTTACACAGTCTTACTGCAGAGGCTGGTTCCCACAGCATGCCATCTACAAGATAATAAATTCGACAATGCTCAAGTTTCCTTGTAAACGGTATTCCTATCGAAACACGACAAATGGAAGTCTTTCCCGGTTCCATATTGCCTTGATGCTAGCCTGGACAATATGTACATCAATCCTTTTTCTGATTCCGAGAACGAGAAAGAGAGACTTAGTGAGGGTGGTTCTTGTGGTGGCCTTTTTGAGAAGAAAAGTCAGCAATTGAAAAATATCAGGTAGTAGAATGTCATGACATACGCAGGTGGAAGTAGTATTCCATGCTGTAGCCGAGGGTCAAGATACCAACAATGGCGTGAAGAAGAGCTGTTCAACAGAGATCGAAAAAAAATTAGAATAGATACAGCAGGGTTAATGGGTGGGACTCTTTGCTTACGCGCAGCAGAAGCGTTCTTGCCGAAGTAGCGAGCCTGGTAACGACCGATGAGCCCGGTGGCCTTGACCTCAGGGGCAGGGCCGCGGGGAAGGCTGGCGTAGAAGTTCACAACACGCTCCATACGAGCAGCATCCTGGGCAGCGCCGATGGCCTTTTGTTCACACAAGTCAGCTATTGTTGCACAGGCGATACAGATGCCCAAGATATGATGGATTCGCGACTTCGCGATATGGCAAAAGAGCCAGAGTCGACAGCGAAAAAAGAATCTGAAGGAGCAGAAAGGGAGTTGGAGAAATCGCTTACGTTGGGGGAGGCAATCTAGAAGTTCATGTCAGCATTAGAATTATTACTCTAACAGGCGTTATTGCATTTGAGGCGTTCTTACCTTGGGAGGAATCAAGGTCGAAAGACCCCGGCGGACGATGTAGCTCATCTTGTCCTAGGCAAGGTCAGTCAAAAATCCGCACCGGCCAAATTCATGTGCCAAAAAGGCCGCATTTCACAGACTAGACTTACTAGGATTCGACAGGCAATTGAGGGAGAGACAATTGATGACGACAGGCAAGAGTGAAGAGAGCCGGCGAGAAGCGGGTTGTCGGATGAGTGGTAGGTCGGGAGCCGCAATGCCGCGCTAACCGGATTCAGTTTTGCTCGACCTTGCCGCATACCTCCCAACGACGGACAACCTCGAGCCTGCAATTCAGCTTGACCACGACAGCACGCTGTTTCTGCCAGCATGTCTTTCCTCAGAACAACGAGCTCGGTGTGCTTCCGCGCAGGCAAGGCTGTCAGGCCTGTTAATGCTCGCTTTTTCGCTTCCAGCCCCGTGACTCGCGATGCACCGGTCAAGACTAGCCCTGCCGATGCCCCAACCACTCCCTTGAAGGAGAGCTCTCTCGCCAAAAAAGAGAGCCCGTCGGAGGCAATGGCTCGTCATCAGCCCGACTATGAGGCCCATATCGACCACGCCACCTCGTAAGGACTAATTGCCGCCTGTCTCGCTGGATTGCACTGACGCCTAGACTTTCAGGAACTTTTCCCCTGTCCCCAAGCGCGTGATGGATGGCAGCGAACCCGGGGACAGTGTTCCTGCTGCTGTCTTGTCCGGTGCTCCTGTCGATTTGCAGGCCCGTACAGTCCGGTATGCTGTGCCTGTCCCTCCATCTTGTCAGTGTTCGATTTTGCTAACTGGAATTTCTCTCCGTAGCATCTACCGCCCTACGAAGCCTGCGACCCAATCTGGAACCTGGCATGGCCACCACTGGCGGATGGACTGGGACATTCTGCAGAAGGGTCACCGATGGGAGAACCAGCTGATGGGATGGCAATCGTCCGCCGATAGCATGCAGGGAACCCATCTGAACTTCAAATCCAAGGAGGACGCCATCCTGTTTGCCCAAAAGCAGGGATATGAATATTTTGTCCAGGAGCCGAACGAGCGCAGATTCGTTCCCAAGGCCTACGCGAACAACTTCGTCCACGAGTCCAAGAAGCTCAAGATCATCAGGACGAAATAAACCCTGTTCCCTTGTCCTTATGTCATG